TGTTTTTAATCTAAAAAAAAAATAGAAAATTTTTTAATTGTTTTATTTCTTTTATAATTTAATTTTTCAAAGATAATTATTAATAATATAGTTTTATCTCTTCATCTTTTTTTATTTGTTACTTTTTTAATTCCAAATATATTTGGAATTAATATAAAAAGAAGTGCAACATGATCAGTTAATCAAATAAATACAATCATCAAATAAAATTTTAATTATTTTAATAAATATTAGATTTTTTAAATTTACAAATTTGTTTATTGATAAAAATATAGGATAAATAAATACAATCTCTAAATTACTAATTATAATTGGGTTATTTGATATTGTTGGTATATGTTATTGTTATATGGTTTTGTTGTTTTAATATAGTTATTATGTTTAGAAATATGTTATAAAAAATTATTTAATAATTTAAATTAACCATTGACTTGATGTTTTGAAGCAACTGCTGTACCAACTGTAGTTGGAGTATCAACTAATTGAGAAGCTAAATCAATACCAATTTCATCTAAAACTTGATTTAAGATTTCTTGTGATTGTTCTTCTTCGTCATCTTGTTCCATAACTTGATCCATTGTATCATTCATCATCTCTTCTTTCATATCCATCTTATCTGATTGAATTTCAAATTCCATCATAATCTATACATTTTATTAAGAAATATTGTTAATAAAAAATAAATAATTTTTTTTTTGTATTGTGGTGCTTGTGAAAAGCTTTTGTAAATAATACCTTTGTAAATTGTGGAAGATTCATTTGTCTATTCATTGTCATCATTGCTTTAGTAACACCTTTCATTGCCTCTGCCATTTGTTGTGTTGATTGTAAAGTCTAAATTAAAAATAAATAAAAAAATAAATGGATTAATATCATTACTATATATGTAACCCTATAGAAATTATAATTAATAATTTGATAATTACTTGAATTCTAAGACTAACAGCTTGTAATTGAGTTTTCATTTCATAAAACTTTTGAATGTGATATCTAGTTCTAACTAAATCTTTTGCCATAATCTTTGCTGAGTTCTATATTTCAATATTGAAGAAAGTTAAAGGTTAATATGATGAGCTAAAAATTGTTTTTTTTTTTATTTATTTTAAACCTTACCATTTGACCTTGTTTGGCCATCTTTTTAATATCTAATATAATCTTTTTTTCTTGATTCTGAAGATTTACACGTTCACGATCAATTTCTCTTTTAATTTTAAAATAATTTGTGGGTTAATAAATATTATTATTTATTTATAATTAGATAATCTTAAAACCACCTACCTCATTGATTTATTAAGAGCTCTGTATTTAATTATAGATGATTAAAAATAAAAAAGATTGTTAATATAAAGATTTTTTTAGTTGTCAAAGTCAAAATATAAATACCTTTGATTTTCTCTGAGAATTTCTAAAGTTAAAAATAGTAATAAAATGTTAATAAATGATAATAATACACTTTATTGATATCAAATAAAGAACAATACATACCTTTTGGGGTTTTTTGTTTGCCAAAGAGAAACATTTTGTTATATATATATTTTTATGTTGTTTGTTTATTTATTGCGATTTACTTTGTTTAATAGTTATACAAAATATATTATATTTCGTTATTTGGTTTATAAATTAATAGCCCAATATTATATAATATTAAAAAGTTAAAGAAAAAAAAAATATAAATTAATTATTAAAATAATTTTAATTTTAAAAAAAAAAATAAATAAAAAATTTAAAAAAAAAATTTAAAAAAAATTAAATAAAAAATCTTAAAAAAAAAAAAAACAATTTTATAATTTTGAGTAGTTTATAAAAAAAGTATTTTTTTGAGTTTGTGTGTGCAAAGTTTTAAAAATAAAAATCAAAAGAATTTTATGTTTAATTAAAAAATAAATAAATAAATAAAAAAAATTGGGGAATTTTTTTTTTTTTTTTTAAAAAATTTTAAGTGGGAAAAAAAAAAAAAAAAAAAAAAAAAAAAAAAAAAAAAAAAAAAAAAAAAAAAAAATATATGGGAAAGGTTTAAATTTAATTTTTATTTATAACTATAAATTTCTTTTCGCAATAGGCAACTGAAGAATCTTTTGAATTTTGAACAACACTATTCTTATCACCTTTTTTGAGAATTGCACAAAATGAAGAATTTGATTCGAAAAATTCCACATGGTCAATACCAAGATCAATTAATTCTTTTTGTGCCTCTTCACTTAAATGTGAGAAACCATCACCATTTACTGAAAGTAAAATTATTTTACCATCTTTGATTGATTTTAAATAACGAGTAAATTTTTTTGAGCTGTTTATAAAAAAGAAAAATGAACTTGTATTGAATGATTTTGAGTCTAAATTTAAACCTTTTGAGTCCAATATTACAACATTAAAACCTTGATTATTACCACAATCTATTTCTTTCCCATTGATTATAAATTTTGAATATCCTTTGAATTTATTAGTTTCCTATATAAATTAAATTAAATTAAGATAAGTAAACCCTTTTTTTTTTATTTGTTTTTTAAAAAAAAAAAACTTACAACACTTGAATAGACTTGAATATTAACTGTTTTTGCTTCACTGTTTAAAAGATTAATACATTTATCATGTAGATCTCTATTTTGATTTTTTAATATGGTCCAAATTGAACAAAGGTTACCTATTTCAATGATTGAACAATCTTGAATATTTTCTAATGATAATATATATTTGCCAAAATCATCCTTGAGAGTTCTGTCACCACCACTAACTCTTTTCTCGTCAAATAAATAGTTTCCTGTAATTTTGGTACCACTATCACTTTTATTGTCTACATTAAAACCAAAGTCCAAATCGATGGGATCGTGAAAGCTAAACTTGAAACGATTTTCGAGAGTAAAACCAAAGGACTCCTTATCACTCTCTGCACAGTCCTTTTTATAGCCGGTTGATGATATTTTCCCACCAAGAGTGTACCTGGTTGGAAAGAATTCGTTGTTTTTTAAGAACTGCTTAAGGGTACCTAAATCTTTGGAGGCTTCTCCAAGAGATTTAATAAAATTGTCTTTTAATGTAATATAATCAGGCTCTATTCTAATCTCAAGTCTAGGGATCATACCATGGGTATAGGAATAAACAGTCTTGGATTCGACACTTTGTGATTTTTCAGATTCGACTTGACCTTTATTAATGAAATTGAAAATTGATTTGAGAGCCATTGTACCATTCCATGTGTAGAGACCACCTTTATGTGCATTGTGTTCAATTGAATTAAATGTTGATTTGGTCATAAAAGATAATGTTTCCTGTGGTGGAAAAATTAATGCATTGTTTAAATCCCATTGAACTATTTCATATCTATCTTGGAAGGTTTCGGGATCAATTGAATATTTAAGTGGAAGATTTTTGCAGTATTCAAAAATTTTTTTACGATTTTCTTCCACATTAATATTTTTTAAACTGATACCCATTTTACTTGCGCCGTCTTCATTTAAAACATTATTGCACAAAGGTATTTGTTGTGTTGTGGCTATAGTTCCGACATTAGTGGCATTTGCTGTGGCAGTAGTTGTAACATTAAGGCCTGCAGAAGTAACAACAGCATTTGATTGCTCAGCAACAACAGTGCAAGATGTTGCATCGACTATTGGACTAGATAGTACAGCAGTGTTTGCATTTGCTAGCTCGGGGTGTGATTTTGCATTAACTTTTCTTGCAGTCTTTACTTGAATTGCATCACGGGAAATAGAATCTTGAGTTTTAAAATGAATTGCTCCGCCTATTAATACATCAGAAACCTTGGTAAATTCTTCTTGCTCCGAATCTATTGGACCATCCTTTCCAATAAACACATTACAGTATGGTACTAAATCACCAAGTGATTCTCTTAATTTTTCTAAATTAGTATTTACATCTTTAACTTTAAAATCTAATAATTTATTATTATCAAAATATATTGCTGTATCAATTTTATTATTACTACAATTATTATTATTAATCATTTTATTTTCTTTATTATTTAAAACTATGTTTTTTTTTAAATATATTTAAATATGATAAATGAAAAAAAATATGTTATTATTTATATTTAAACAGATATATGAAAAAAAAATATGATTAAAAAGATGAAATAAAAAATAAAAAAAAATAAAAAAAAATAATAATAAAATATTTTGGGGTTATAAAAAAAAAATATATATGGCAACTGCTTGTTTTATGATATATAAATTTAATCCCCCTCTAAAAAAATTTTGGATATTTGGGAATGCAACAATATTAAAAAATGTATTCCCACATATTTAAAAATAATGTGTGAAGTGTGTTGACTTACTAATTGAACCGTTATAAATAAAGTAAAGGTAAGGATAGGAATAAATATTGTTTTTTTTTTTAAATTTTTTTTTTGTTTATATTTTTATTTTTTTTTTATTTATATTTTTTTTTTATTTTTTATATGAAAAAATAAAAAAAGGAAACCTTGAACCTTCACCTACGATCGCTTATGGAACTCGTTTTACGATTTCTTAAGGCCAAAGTTAACTGGTGGTTTTACATGATCGGGATCAAAAATATTGTTTTTATTACTTTGTTTTTAAAAAACATTATTATATAAATTAAATATTTAAAACTGGGAAAACTAAGACTGGTAAAATTTTTTTTTTTTTTTTTTTTTTAATTGAAAAGGAATATATTATATTACTATTACTATTACTATTATTTGTGTGAAAATGTTTTGATATATAACTGAATATATATGAACAATAACAACAAAAAATAAGATGTGTTATATAAATGATTTTTTTTGTGATTTTATTATTATATTTTTTGAATGATACCCTCCCACCTAAGCTAACTAACCCTGGATATAAAAAAAGCCAAAGAAAGATTTGTAATAATTGATTGAATATTTGTACATTGTTTTTTTTTTTTTCTTTTTTTTAACTACTATTAAAAATTTGAGAAAAAAATTAGAAAATGTTAATATTTAAATAAAATAAATATTTATTTTTAAAGAAATGAATAAAAGTAATAAATAAATTATAAATAAATCAATATATACATTATCTAAATTAAAAGAAATAAAAAGTTTAAAATTTATTTGTATAAACTAAAAGTTTGGTATAGATTAAAAAAAAAAAAAAAAAAAAGGTTTTTAAGTTGTTTTAAAAAAAAAAAAAAATTAATTTTAAAAAATAAAATTTTTTTTTATTCCTCAGGAAGAATTTTCAGATATTTTTTTTTTTATGATGTGTTTCCACCTGTGTATGCAAAAACAAAAATTCAAAAATATAAGTCAAAAAAAAAGTTAAAAAACAATTTTTTTAACTTTTTTTTTTTAATTTTTAGGAAATATAATTTTTCTTTTTAATTTTCTGTTGTTTCTAAAAATAAAACCAAAATATTTTATTTTTTAATTTAATGGAAAAATAATAATTGTTATTCTATTGTTCTATATATAAAAAAATATTTTGGGTTTAATCTCAAAGAAAGAAAAAAAAAAAACACCACAATTTTACAATTTTACAAACACACATGGATTATGATAATTATTTGATTGAAGAAAAAATTAAATTAAATTTTTTATTTTATTTTTAATTTGTTGTGTAAACATTAGTTTTGTTATTATAATATTGATTTAATTTACTATTTCTAATTGAATAAGCAAAATAAATGATAAAACCAACAACTGACCAAATACCAATACGAATGAATGAAGCGATATCTAAATGCATGATAAAGTAAGTGTTGATGATAATACCTAAACATGGGAGCACTGGTACAAAAGGACATTTAAAGGTAGTTGGTTTGAATACTTGTTTCTTGAAACAGAGACCAACCATAATAGCGAGTAAAATGCCAGCAAAGGTAATTTGAATCCACATATTCCACTTGTTATTACTTGCAACACCAAAGAGGCAAGAGAAAACAAATAAAACAAATAAGATGAGAGTTGTTGGGATTTTACCATCTTCAGTACCATCTTCTCTTCTGAAACGTAATACTACAACACCTGCACAAACTGAACTGAAAGCTAATAAAGTGCCAATACTAATCATATTGGTTAAATTATCTAAATCAATAAAGATTGCTAAAATTGATGCAAAGATACCTGTGAAAATAGTACCGAAAACTGGGATTTGTTTCTTATTTAAAGTGGCGAATTTTTTAAAGAAAAGACCATCTTTAGCCATCTGGAGGTAAATACGTGGCTGACCTAACAAGCAACAAAGTGTGGAGGCAGTTAACGAGGTTAATGTACCACAAGCAATAACCATAGCAGCCCATTTCAACTTATTGTCAACGGTGAGGAAAGCTTGTGATAATGGTGAGTTGGTGCTTATTTGAGTAAAGTTGACCATACCAGATAAAACGAGTGTAACACCAATGTAAAGACTAGTGGCGATCACTAAGGTACCAACAATACCAATTGGTAAATCACGTTTTGGGTTTTTAACTTCACCAGCTAAAGTGGATACAGAATCGAAACCAACATAACTAAAGAATACAACAGAACATGCATTAAATACACCATCAAAACCAAATGGTAAAAATGGGTTCCAATTCTCGATTTTTACATATAGGGAACCTAAAATGATGAAAAAGAGAATGGTAATAATATTCAATGCTGTAATACATGCATTAAAACGTGCGCTATCTTTAATACCAAATACCAAAATAATTGTGCAAAAGATAATGATGACTGGTGCAAATGGGTTAACGTTGATCCAACTATTTAAAGAATAACCGGCAATAAACTCTGGTGTTTCTGCACCAAAAATACTAAAGATTACACCAAAATATCCGACCCAACCTCTTGCAACTGCACTTGCTGAAATTGCATATTCTAATGTCAAATTCCCTATTAATGATTAATTTGATGTTAATAATTTATTTTTTTTTTTATTAAAATTTTTTTTTTTTGCTTAAAACTAACATCCTACAAACCAACCCATTAATTCACCTAATGCGACATAAGTAAAAGTATATGCACTACCCGAAACTGGGATACGAGCAGAGAATTCTGAATAGCAAAAAGCTGAAATCAGGCAGGCCAATGCCGAGAAAATAAAAGATAACAGGGTACCAGGACCAGCATATGAATTGATTGCAAGACCTATAGATACAAATACACCAGCACCTACAGACGAACCAATACCATATGATACTACGTCGATAATTGTTAAACATTTATCCAAAGCAACACTTGCTCCATTTGTTTCTTCCTCTTCAAGGACACCACTAGCTGGGTACTTTCTAAGGAGTGAATTTAAACTGTAAATTGATTTATTATTTCTATTGAATAATAACGATGTTCTTTCGCTGTTACCCTGTTCTTTTAAGTAATTGGCCATTCTCTGATTGTTTGGCTTATTCTATCTGGATTAATAATTTTAATTATTTTATAAGAAATTATATAAACAAATATAAATGTTTATATAATTGTATTTGAATGTAAAAAAAGTTTTATAAAATGATCAGTTTTTTTTTTAATAAAAAATATTTATACAAAATTGTTTATAGAAAAAAATATTAAAAAAAAAAAAACGGAAGAAATCAAGAAAAAAACATCATGACAACCCTATTATAATCTTTAATATTTAACAAAAAAAAAAAAATTGGCTTTAGGTCGGAAATAATTTTTTAAAATAAAAATAAAAATAAAAATAAATATAAAATATATAAATAGAATGATGGATTTTTTTATTATTTTTTAATTATTATTATTATGAAGATTTTAGGGTTAAAACCAATTCTTCAAATCTATTTTCATCGGAGCCTGCATATTCTGCTATTTGATTTTGATTTTTATAAGCTTTAAAAAATGGTAAACTTGAAACGGTTTTGGCTTGAGGTAAATCATATAATTTATCAATATTTACTATAATAAATGATATATTTGGATTTTCTTGAGCACATTTAGGAAAAATTGATTTCTCAAATTTATTGCACATATCACATCTATTGATTAATAAAAGTATATGTTAGTATATAAATAAATTAACAATAGATATAAGATTTCAGATTTAATATTTACAAATCAGCAGTGAAAGAAACAATAGATAAAGATGTATTATTAAATTCCTCATTGAAGCTGTGTATATCATTTGGTGTTACTACTTTGCCAGGTATAATTTTACGGTGTCTAATAATTATTAAAAAAAAATAGATATGTTAATATTAAAAAAAATAACTAATGATTGTTTTTATAAATAAATATATATATCTACCCATCCAACCCAATAATTAATTTTTCCAAGTGTGCCTCATTGTCACCCGTAAATTCATCTACTTTAACTTTATTTCTATATGATTTAAATGTTGGTATACCTGTAATTTCTTTACACAAATCCAACTCTGATATTTTATCTATATCCACTTTTAAAAATACAATATCTGTATACTGTTTGCCCTTTCTTAAAAATATTGGTGTGGTGGTATGGCATGTAGAGCACCTGTGGGTTTAAATTATATTAAAGTAATTTAAAGTTAATAAAATTAAAAAAATAGATGTAACAAAATAATATAGGTGTGCCCTACCATTCTGCTGAAAAATATATAATTGCTTTGGCAAGAGAAGAGAACCTCTTGTTAAAGTCTTCTAGTGAAGTTATATTGTAATACACCATATTTTCTATTTATATTTAAAGATATCGGAAATTAAATTTAAACAAATATAAAGAAAGTTGTGGCGTTTAGGATTCAAATAAAATATAAAAAATTTTAATAAAAACAAATTAAAAAAAAAAAATTTAATTTTTTTTTTTTTTTTTTTTTAATTTATATTTTATTTTTTTTTTTTTTATATTTTTTTTTTTTTTTATTAATTTAAAATTATTATTTTTTTTAAAAATTTTCAAAATAAACCATTTTAACAATAATTTTAATTAATAGTTTTATAAATCAATAGTAGAATAAGATTATAGTTATGTACACACAAGAAAGGCGAGATAAAAAAGCAGTAATATATTTAAATCGAAAACAAGCAGTATTAGAGTGGATTATAGATTTTTTTTTACAAAATAAACAACCGATTGATAGGAATTGCACAGATTTAATAGCATTGATTGATGATGGTGTGGTTTTATGTAAACTTATAAACTTTTTTTTCCCAAATAGAATCGAAAAAATTGTATATCCCAAAATAGGATCAACCAAATATTATCTTCGTATTGAGAATATCAACTCATTTATTAATCAATGTCAAATATTATCAGTACCAGTTGTATTTCAAACATTGGATCTGTTTGAGGGAAAAAACCCGGTGCGTGTAGTTACTTGTATTCACAGTTTAATAGAATTATTAGATCCAACCAATAATTTAAAGGATAGACTCATAAAGAAAAGAAGTAATAAATTTACCACTGAAGAAATTTCTAGGGCAAATTTAGAACTACAGATTGAAAAAGAGGCATCAGGTAAATCAATGTCAATGCTCTTGTACGATTCTATTAACCCAGCATCATCAACATCGTCATTATTGGAAACTACCAACTCGGATAATAGCTCGAATGATTTAATGTTTGAAACTCCTGCAAGACAACAATCACCTACCAGCAATGTTTCACCAAACAGCAATAACAACTATGGCACAGTGCAATATCAAATGACAAACTCAAATGCTTATGAAAGCAATAATCTTTCAGTTTTAAATACATCACATTTAAGAACAACAATCATTAAAACCCCATTAACAAGAAACCACAATAACTATAGTATGAGCATTCAAAATACACCTCAAATTCATCATACTCCTGGCCTTCCATTATATCAACATCAACAAGAAATGGCAACCTCTTCAATGATGAAAACTGCTTCAATATCGGCTGTTCCTGTTAAAACCTCGCCCTCTCCTATTCATCATACTAGTAACAACCATTTAGAAACAACCAATAGATTTTTAACCAACTCCATCTATAATAATAGATATATAAATAATAACTACACACCCTACAAACCAAACGACTTACGAATTAGTGATTTAAACCAAACATCAACTGTTTCAAAAATAACAAATACTAATACAACCAATGTCAATACATATAGATCTCAACAACAGCAACAATTACAACAACAGCAATTACAACAACAGCAATTACATCAACAGCAATTACAACAACAACAACAATTACATCAACAAAAACAACAATTACAACAACAACAGCAATTACAACAACAACAACAACAATTACAACAGCAACAACAATTAAATCAACAACAGCAACAACAACAACAATTACAACAACAACAACAATTACAACAACAACAAATGTTAAATAAACAAAAAGAACAGTTACAGAAAAAACCAAGGACATTATTCAAAGATTTTTTAATTTTTACAACTATTTTAGTTTTAATTTCAATATGGATAAAATTATTTATTGGAAACGAAAGTAAATTTAGTTTTTTCTTTAATAAAACCAAATAAAAAAAACCACATTATTTATTATTTAATTTAAAAATCCTTTTTATTTTTATAAATTTTTTAAGTTATTTTCAAGATATAGAAATAAAGAAAAACTTTTTTTTTTTTTTTTTTTTTTAAAATTTATTACTCCTCTTTTTAAAAAGGAACAATATTTATATTTTTTTATTCGAATTAATTTTATTTTTTAAATAAAATTATTTTAAGTTGCATAAATTATTATATTGTTATATTATTTATTATTATTATTTTTTTTTTTTTTTTTTTGTTATATATTTTTTAAAATAATCGTTGAGGATTGAATATATATTTATATTATATTATTATTTTAATGATTTGATTTGTGATGAGTAGTTTCTGGTGGGAAAACAAAAGCTGGTTTTTCTTTTTTAACAGCAGCTTGTGGTTCTTCTTTTGGAAGATCTTTACCAAACCATTTGTAAATCTTACGAAGGGCACCTCTATTGATTGGTTGAATCTTACCACGAAGAGCAAAGGTGACACCAAGTTTGATGAAATCCATTGGGATGTACCATAAGAATGACCAAATCCAAGCACAAACAGCCCAACCCCAACCGGCACCTCTTAAATTGGTTTCGAATTTCTCACAGTCTGCATATTTAGGATCATCTACTTCTAAATAGGAACAAGTATGTGGATAAGCTCTGAGACCGTAAACACCAATAAAGGTAGCAACAACTTGGGAGAGACAGAAAGCAAAGATAACAAAGAAACCTGGACGTTCAAAGTATGAGAAACCTTGAGAACGTGAAACGAAAATAGTAGCTAAACCAGAAATTGAAACTTGGAGATAAATGATACCACGAATTTCAGAGTCGTGGAGGTAACGTAAGTTGATGTGATCTTGGAACCAGGTAGTGTTGTTGATGATTGCAAAGAATACAATAGTTGAACCGACTAAATAGAAACCATAACAAAGAGCCATAGTGAATACTTCGAAAAGATTCCATTCATCAGGTTCATTTCTTGGTTTTACACGATCTTTAGCAATTGTAAGCATAGTACCATCATTCAAAATTGCAATGATAACAGTGGCAATAGTTGGGAACATGAAACCCCAACCGATGGTGAGGATACCAAAAGTACAACAGATACGGACAGTAGCAGAGACAGAGTAGATAACGTAATTTCTCATACGTTGGAAAATCTTACGAGAGCAAATAATAGCATCAATGATAACTGAAAGACCAGATGAGGTAAGGACGATATCAGAGACAGAACGAGCAGCATCAGTAGCACCGGCTACAGCAATACCAATTTGAGCTTTCTTTAAGGCTGGTGCATCATTTACACCATCACCAGTCATACCGACAACATGCTTTCTCTTTTGAAGTTGTTCAACGACCTTGTATTTATGTTCTGGCCACATTTCTGCGAAACCATCAGCCATTTCAATAACTTCACCTTCAGAGACACCGAGATCATTGTTTTCTAAATATGGAATAGTAAAGAGATTACCACCCATACCAAGACGTCTTGCAGTTTCTTTAGCAATAGCCAATTGATCACCAGTAATCATTTTAACACTAACACCCATTTCAAGAGCACGTTTGATAGTATCTTCAGTATCGTGACGTGGTGGATCAAATAATGGAATTAAACCTAAAAAGTGCCATGTTTTGAAGTCTGGGGCATCGTATGAAATTGAAGCACCAAGAGCACGATAACCACGATCAGCGAGATTTTCGATTTCCTTTTCAACAGCTTCACCGATTTCTTTGTAGTTGTCAGATTCACGAAGGATAATTTGTGGGGCACCTTTGGAGGCTTTGAAAGTTTTACCGTTTGGACCGTTTACAAGACCCATAGCTTTTTTATCTTCTGGATTGAATGGATAATGTTTTGATACTTGATGGTTGGCATAGTCAGCATTTGGATATTTTTCATGACAATAATTTGTAATGGCTTTATCAATGGCATCTTGATCATCACCTTCAGAACAAGCCAAGTAAGAAATGAAAACAACATCCTCTGGTTTAGAGTCACCAAAACAGATTGGTTCATCAACAGTAAGAATGTTAAGAGTAAGAGTACCAGTTTTATCTGAACAGAGAATATCCATAGCAGCTAATTCTTCAATGGAGGCTAAACGAGATACAATAGCCTTCTTCTTTGAGAGTTGAGTAGCACCAATAGCCATAGTAACTGATAAAACAGTTGGCATAGCAATTGGAATACCACCAACTAATAAAACGAGGGCATTGTTTAATGGTGAACATCTACCTTCACCAACACCATGACAATAACCACCACGACCAAGGAATACAACTAATAATTCAATGAGTACCCAAATGGCAATGAAGAAAATACAGAAGAGACCAATGTTTCTAAGAATGACTTGAAGATGACCATGACCTTCAGTTTCTTGTACAAGATGGGCAGCACGACCAAAGAAAGTATTTACACCAGTGGCAGTGACAACACATTTAGCTTCACCTTGTTTCATTGATGAACCAGAGTAAACTTCATCACCAACTTTCTTGTTAACTGGAAGGGATTCACCAGTTAATGAGGATTGATCGATTTTAACTTGTTCGGCTTCTAAAACTCTACAATCGGCTGGAACGACGGCACCAATCTTTAACATGATAACATCACCTGGTACAACATCTGGTGATGGAATCATTTCCCATTGACCGTCACGCATAGTACGAACTTGACTAACTAAAGAGTTCTTTAAAGCTTCAACTGCATTACCAGCAGTATGTTCTTCAATAAAACCAATAGTGGCATTTAATAAAAGTAAAGCACAAATTAAAATGAAATCTACCCAATCTAAAAGAGCAATTGAAACAATAGCGGCAACTTCCATAGTCCATGATAATGGATTCCACATAAAATAAAGAAATTCTAAAATTGGATATCTTTTAACATCTGGAATTGCATTTGGACCAACTTCTTCCATTCTAAATAGTATTAAAAAAATGAATTTATTAATATTTTATTTTAATTAAATATTTTATAATGATGATGGTATTTACCTTTTTTGAGCTTCGGCTTTAGTCAAACCATTTGCATTAACTTTTAATTCTTCAAAGATATTATCTAATGGTTTAATACCTTCTTTTTCTCTTTCAAGAGTTCTTCTATAATTAGTAGCTCTTTGTTTGGTTCTTCTTGATTCTAAAACTTCTGGATTTTCAAAAAGTTCTTGTTGAAGTTTTGGTACCCATGTTGATCTAAAATTATAATTTTCATCTTCTTTCTTACTATTACTATCTTTATCGCTTGAGCTTGGATAACCTGAAATAGTTTTGGTGGATTGTTCAACACTATCCATTGGTAATGAGGTTTCATCTCTACGAACAGCTGGGTCGCTTGCTGGGAGATTGATATTTGAATCTTGAGCTATTCTATCCAATTCAACACCCTCATCAGTATTTGAATTTCCTTTACTGTGAGGATCAACTGGATTGTTATTATTATTATTATCCATTTTTTTTATTTACTAAAAGTAAATTAAAAAAAAAAATATATTTATATAATTTAAAATTTCCCCAAATAAAAAAAAAAGTTGGAAAAAAAATAATTAAATTTAGAAAAATTAAAGTTAGTTATACATATAAATTTTATTTATTGATTAAAAAATAAAATATATAAATAATATAAATTACAAAAAAAAAAACAAATTATAAATAAACTATTATTATTATTATTATTATTATATTTTTAAAACACAGATGATATTATTATTATTATTATTATTATTACTATTATTATTATTTATGACAATCGATTCATAAATAATTATCTATTGTCGTTTATATTAAAATAATTTATAGTTATTATGTACTATTACAACAAAAAATAAAATAATATAAAAATTAAAAATTTAGTGGGTGAAATGAAAAAAAATATAAATAAAATAAAAAGAATAAAAAGAATAAAAATTCAATTTTAAAAAATAATTAAAAAATAAATATGAGAATGAAGATATTTCATTGTTGGAATATTTATTTTTGGGAATTTATATAATGGTGTTTTATAGTATTGGTGGGTTTTATTTTTTATTTATTTACATGATATAAACTTGTGTGGGTTGGCATGTGGTGGTGTGGTGTTTGAGATAAACGAAAATTTAATTATATTATTTTTGTGTGTGTTTAGTGTGGGATTTAATTAATTTTAAACAATTTTGCTTTTAACAAATATTTTATTTTTACTGGTTTTAAACAAAAAAACTAAAATAATTTTAACTTTTATTTTACTACTCACAAAAATTAATCAAATTGGCTTTAAAATAAATCTAAAACCAAACATAGATAGGGATGTGATAAAACAACACAATTATATTTTTATTATTATTTTATTTATAATACACAATACTAATATTTTTATTATTTGTTATTTATTTATTTATTTAATTAATTATTAATTTATTTATTTATTTATTAATTTTGTTTTTAAAAAAATTTTAAAAAAATAAATTTTAATTTATTTTATTTTTTTTAAAAAGGAAAAATAGTTAAGAAAATAAATAATAATAAATTTATTTTTAATTTTATTATTTTCATAATAAAGATTTGATCGATAAAAATAAATTATTTGAAGTTATAAAATAAAAGATTAAAAGAAAAAAAATAAAATATGAAAAAATTATTATTTTAAAAAAAATAAAAAAAATAATTTTCAAATTTGGGTTTTAGATTAAATTATTTTTTTTATTTTTTTTTTAAATTAATTGATGTCCCTATAATGAGGACATGTGTGGTTATATTAAAAAGAATGAAGTGGTATGAAATTCTTTTTTTAATTTTTTTTTTTTTTTGTCACACTATTATAATTATTATTATGGATGTTATTGTGAGAGAGAGTTTTTGATAAAAAAAATAATCAATACACAAAAAAATAAAATGTATGAAAGTTGGATAAAATGATGATAAGAAAAAAAAAAAAACTAAAGGACACACATATATACACAAAAAAATCATAAAAACAAATTTTTTTTTCGGATACTTACAAAAATTGGTTTATTATTTGAATTATTGAAAAAAATATATTGAAAAATTTATTTATAACAACAACTTTTGATGATTGCTTGTGAAGGTTAATCTATTTAAATTTTTATTTTTAAAAGATTAAATTGCTTGTTATATTTACTGTTATATTTACTATTATTATTACTGTTTTTTAAAAAATACTCTAACATATTACACTAAATGCTATATGTCAAAAATGTATTAATTGTTTTTTTTTTTTTTTTTATAAAATTTTTTTTTTTTTTTTTTTTTTTTATTTAACTAAAACAAAAACTAAAATATTTATTTAAAGAATTAAAAATAAAAAAATATTTATTTTAAACTCTGAAAATAAGACACACAAAAAAAAATATTGAATATATAATTTGAAGTTTTATAAATATAAAAAAATGATTTATTTATATTTATGGAGATATAAAAAGATTGTTGTTATTTGTAATAAAAATTATTATTATTTTTATTGTTATTTATGCAACAAATAAATATTTTTAAAAAAGTGAAGAAAAAAAAATTTTCCAACTACCTATTTATATTATTTTTTTTTAGAATAATGGAATAATAGAAAAAATAATAAAAAAAATAATTAAAATTAATTTTATTATTTTTTTGATTTGATGAGGTTTTTTTTAACTCCAAACCATAAAACTCACATATTTGGAAAGTATGAAAATACAACACATTGATATCATTTTAAAAGAAACCTTGCATGTTATTTTTTTATTTTTAATTCTATTTATAATTAATTTTATTTTTATTTTATGTATAAATAAATTCTTTTTTTTCTTTATTATTTTTTTTTTTTAATACACTTTTCATTTCCATATTATTTTTTTTTTATACACTATTTTTTTATTTTTTTTTTTTATTTTAATTTTGTAAATAGCATAGGTTTTTTTTTTTTTTTTTTTTTTTTTTTTTTTTTTTTTTTCTCTGTTATTATTATACTATTTTTAAAAAAATAATAGAAAAACAAAAGAAAAAAATAATATTTTTTTTATTTTTTTTTTATTATTTTTTTTTCACCTATTATCTAATGGCAACATATAAAATAACATAAATTCATCATTTTTTATGTAACCATTATGTTTTTTTCGTTCTGGCTCACATTATTTTTTTGTAATATTGTGAATGTATAGATTTGGTATTAATATAGATAATTAATAAAAAAAAAAATGCAAACATTCAATACATCAGATTAACGGGGGCTTTTCAAAAAAAAAAAAAAAAATAATTAAAAAAAAATTAAAAAAAAATTAATTTTAATTTTATTTTAATTTTTTTTTTTTTTCAACTTTTTAGCAAATCAAACCAAAAATTTCGAAACTATTTTTTTTTATTTAGTTATAAATCCGATTTTGGATTTAAATAAAAATAATGATTCTATTATTATATATTTGTATTTATTTTTAACCATTTTTTTTTTATTTTTTTTTTTTATTTATTTTTTTTTTTGGAAAATTTTAGGTCCATAATTTTTTTGTGAAGAAATATATTAGGTCAGGAAAGCAATTATCAATTGTAATAATAGTTATGGATATAGGTTTTTAAATTTTTATCAAAATCCAATATAAATCCTATAAATTTAAAAAATGAATAATTACCCATTTGTTTGGTGTTATTTTAAATAAATAAAAAAAATTAAAACGAAAAAATGTATTTAGCCAAAAAGTTATTTTTATTTTTATTTTATTTTGTTTTATTTATATCTTTAGGTTCTTGTTCTATTTGGTACCCATCTCTTTAACTCCCACATATTCAATAAATATTCTGGTAGTGTTTCTAACTCTTTTAAAAATTCGATTTTAGTGGTTGTTATATTATTATTATTATTATTATTATTATTATTATTATTATTATTATTATTATTATTATTATTATTGTTATTATTATTATCTGTATCTTTATCATCCTTAAAAACGTTACAAACTATAATTCCCTAAAAATATATTTATTAGTAAAATAATCTACTTTTTCAAGTTTTTATTTGATATTTGATATTTACTTTTGCAACAGTTTCAGATACTCTATTTATGCATGATAGTTCGTCCCATGTTTGTAATCTGTTTTTATCTACACTTTTATTTGAATTAAACTTTTGAATTACAATACCATATTGCGCATGAATTAAATCTGGCTTTAATTTATAAAGGATAAAATCACAACCATACTTTAAACCTGATCTCGGTATCCAACCCAGCGATCTAAAATAATGATAAACTATATATTTATCAACAAAATCCGGTTCAACTAATTGAAATTCTTTAAATGCTTCTTCTATCCCCATCTAAAGTTATACAATAATCAAGCAATATTAGTACAAACCTTTAATATATTTATTATAATCAAAAATACTAACCTTTACCATATTTTTTTTTCCATTATTAGGTATATTACTAGGATCCTTTAATTTATCATCCAATTTAACTGGTCTTAAAATTGTTAAACATCCCAGGCCATATTGTAAATAAAATGCTTCACACAAACTAAGTTGTAAAAATTCAATACTATTGCTGCAATTATTCTCTTCAATATTTGTTGTACTTTTAATTTGGTCATCCTTTTCTACAATAATACTGTCATTTGAATGAAATGTTTTTTGTTGTTTTAAACCTCTATTATCTTTGATATTATCATTATCAGTATTGTTATCATTATTATTATTGCCATTATCATTACTAATATTATTATTGCTATTTATTTCTCTATTTCTTTTATTTGTGTTTAATTTTTTAAATTTGCCTTTTTTAACATGAAAACCTGAACCAGTTATAATTTTATCTTTTATTGAATCATAAACTGGGGTACTTCTTGATAATACACCTTTCCCAAAACAACCATGTCTGTATAAATCTTGACCCTGTTCAAAGTCTATTATTTTAATTCCATATCCAATAAACTCTCCAAAATAATGTTTATATTTTAGTTCGCTGCTAGTTGTGGGTAATTGGAATATATTATTACCAAATAATTGATTATTATTATTTGGGCCTTTAAATTTATCTTTCATCATTTTTATGAATGAAACAATAAAATATTTTTTTGAAAATTTTAAATAAAAAAAAAAAAAAAAAAAAAAAAAAAATTTTAAAAATAAAATAAAATTGTTGAATAAAACAATAACTCCAAATTTGGAATGTTGTGTTAATCTAAAATGTAATACATTATTATTTAAAATCTTTGGTGTAAAACATTTACCATAATTTCTTTTTGGTACTTAAGGGTAATCAAATAAAAAAAATTAAAAAATAAAAAAAAAAAACGAAAAAGTTAAGTTTTACAAAATTCTAGAATAATTTATTTTAAAAACTGTTTTATATAAATAAAAATTTAATATTTGACAGCTTCTAAACCATCTTTGAAGTAAACAAAGGTTGGGGCTGGGTCTTCTGGGTTTTTGTAGTATGATAAGACAACTAAACCATCAGCGTCCATGTTTTCACCTTGATAGAATTTGTATTCTGAGAATTGACCAACCATACCTTTGATGTATTCTTGAGCACCTGATTTGAAGGCATCAACACGTGATGGGTTAGTTTCGCTAAGTTTATCTGATAAAGCTTTCATGTAACCTTTGATGTAAGTTAAATAACCCTTTTTATCGAATGAAGTTTCAGTTAAACGCATAGAGTCGACTAAATTGTTAACTTGGACTAAACCAGCTGAGTCAACACCTTCATCACCTTCTTCTTCTGAGGCATTAGCACCAATATCAACTTTAACATCAAGATCTTTGGTGATCATTTTAGTTTTGACTTCATAGACAACGTCTTTTTCTTCGATTTCGAAGGCGTCTGATAATAATTCATCATCTGTAAAAATAAATAAAAACCATATTAATATTCTCCTATTAATTATTTATATTACTGTTATATTAATTATTTATTATTTATTTATTTATTTTTATTTTTGTATTTTTTATTATTTGGTATATAATATTAATATTATATATCTATTGTTAAACATTTCCTATTTATATTATTTGCTATGTTTTGAAAAAAAAAAAAAAAAAAAAAAAAAATGTATATATATAAAAAAAAAATAAAATGTGTGAAACCTACGGTAATAACCTAAAAAATTTAAAAAAGAGATAAATATTAGTATTTTGAAGATTAAAATAAAAAGATAATGGATATCAATAATTTGATAAAGAATTAAATAAAATAATGATAAATACCTAAAATGTCTTTGAATACTTTCATTTTTATATGTTGTTTGTATGATACTAGATACTAGATACAAAGAAATTATAATACGCAAAAAAAAAAAAAAAAAGGTCGAACGTGCACGTTGGGAAAATTTTTTTTTAAAAATTAAAAAAAAATAAATTTATAAAAAAATAAAAAAAAAATAGTTTAATTAACCTATTAGTTTTAAAAAAATATTTAAAAATAAATATAAATAAAAATTATAAAAATTATAAAAAAAATAAAAAAATAAATATAAATACAAATAAAACGATATAAGAGGGGTATTTTAAAAAAAAAAATAAAAAAATAAAAAAAAAATTAAAAATAAAAAATAAAAATAATAATAATAGATTTTTAATGGTTTTAAAAATTTAATTAAATTTAAGAGATCTAATCGTTTTTTTTTTTTTTTTGTTATTAATTCTATTTTTGTTAAATTTTAAAAAAAGAACTAATATATTTTGAAAAGGTTTATTGTGGTTTTTATTAAATAGTTTTAAATATATTATTAATAGTTATTATTATTATTAATTATTGGTTATTATTATTATTATTATTTTCTACTGCTTGAAATTGAGGATGATGATTTTTGGAACTTTCTTTCTCTTTCTCTTATTTTTTCTTTTTCTCTTTCAATTTCTTTTTGTTTTTCAACATCTTTTTCTTTTTCACGCTCTTTTTCTTTTTCACGTTCTTTAGTTTTATTTAATCTCTCTTTTTCACGATTCATTCTATCTTCTTTTTCTTTACTAAGTTTATTTGATGTATTTGGTGGAGATGAGCTTTTATTTGATTCTCTTGATTTTTCACTTCTGTTGGATCTATCTTCAACATTACTTTTACTACCTCTACTGCTGCTTGATTCGTTGATATCACTATTTTTATCGCTGTTGCTTCTTCTACTACTGCTATGGTCTCTTTTATCATTTTTTCTATTTTCTTTTTCATAGTCATCTCTTTTATCGGATCTATCATCATTTCTTCTATTTTCTTTTTCATAATCATCTTTTGAGTCATTTCTGTTGCTTTCTCTTTCTGATTTTCTACGATCATTTCTATTATCTTTATTAGTTCTATCACTGCTTTTATCACGGTTATCACGGTCATTACTTCTACCACTGCTTCTTTCACGATCTCTATCACGATCTCTATCGCTTCTACTATCCCTGTCGCTTCTATTATCTCTGTCACTGCTTCTAACATTATCTCTATCACCACGGTCTCTGTCATTATTTCTACCACTATCCCTATCGTTTCTATTATCTCTGTCTCTGTCACTACGGTCTCTATTATCATGATCTCTATCATTATTCCTATTGTCCCTGTCATTATTTCTACCACTGTCTCTATCACCACGGTCTCTATCGTGATCTCTGTCATTATTACTACCACGGTCTCTACTATAGTCTCTATCACCACGGTCTCTTTCGTAATCATCATTTCTTCTTCTGTCACGATCACTACGGTCACTACGGTCATTACGATCATTACGATCATTACGATCACGGTCACTACGATCACTACGATCACTACGATCACGGTCATAATCGTCACGTTCTCTTCTTTCACGTTCTCTTTCACGGTCACGGTCTTTTTCACGTTCGTCTATATCGTCGTCGTGGTCTCTTTTCCTTTTTTGATCATGATAAGAGTCACTTGATCCATATCTATCTGGAGAACTATTACCACTGCCCCAAGGTCTGCTATTTGGTGGTGGTGGACCTTGATAGAAATAGGGTGGAATCATATTTGGTGGTGGACCTCCTCTCATCATACCTCTACCGCCTGGTGGATAGGGATAGCCTCTACCATTTGGTGGTGCATGTGGATATCCTCTACCTCCTCTCATGGCAGCACTATTATAGAATTCGGATGGAGGCATACCCATAGGTGGTGCATTTCCTCTACCTCTACCTAATGATTGCATTGGGCCACCACCTCTTACTTTACCACCTCTACCACCTCTTTGAGAATAGATGTGTGGTGGTGCTTGAATACCATTTTCGCCATGACCACCCATATGATGACCATGAGCACTGCCTGTTGTTGTTGAACCACCTTGATGTTGATGTTGACCAATATTTTGTTGTGGAGCACTTGGTTGATTTGTTTGGCCCAAACTTATATTTTTTATTGTATTTAAAGCATTTTGATAATTTAATTGAGAGAGTGAACGGATAACCATTTCTTTACCATTGATTGACTTCCTATCTAATTTTGATTTGGCTTGTTGAGCAGAGTCTTGGTTTTGGAACTCTATAAACGCATAACCTTTTGATTTACCATTGTTTTCATTTTCAAAGATCTTTAATGTTACAATTTTTCCAAATTCTGAAAATATTTTTTCAAGTTCTTGATCCTTTGTCCACCACTCTAAACCACTGATATACAATGCTGGTGATAAATCTGGTTGATCATTTGATATATTGGTTGTTTTTGAATTATTACTTGAGTTTTGGTTTTCATCATTACTATTGTTATTATTGTTATTATTATTATTATTATTGTTATTGAAGCCTATAATATTGTTATTCTAAAAATGATATTTTGGTTAATACATAAATGTAAATGTAAATGTAAATGTGAATGTAATGGGATAGAGTAATTAGTATATAATACTTACATCTTCGTCTGTTTCGTCGTATGAGTGTTCATCGTCAATAAGTTGAATACGATTTTCGTCATTTGAGTGCTTTCTAGAATTATTATTAGAGTCATCTTCATCATTTTCATTTTCATCATTATGACCACGACGACGTTCACGATCATCATCACTATCATTACGTTTATGATAATCATCGTCATCATCTTGGTTATTGTCTTCATTTGATCTTTTACTTGATTTATAGTTGTTATAATTATCTTTATCTTCATCTTCGTTCATTTGATCATTTTCATCATCTGAATTGTTTTTATCATTTTTATTTGTTGTATTTTCTTCGTTACTTTTAAATTCCCCATATAAATCGTATGAATCGTCATCCATTTCTATAAAATTAAAATATATATAAAATATATAAACTTATAAATACATAAATTGATATTTGTTTAATAATAAAAAAAAAATTGTTTTAATAAAAAAAAAAAAAAAAAAAAAAAAAATATTAAATTTTAAAAAAAAAAATTAAATTTTAAAAAAAAAAAAAAAAAAAAAATTAAAAATTAAAAAAATTAAAAAAATTAAAAAATAATTTATTTTTTTTAATAAATTGGTTTAATTTGGAATATTTGTGGAACCCCCAATTGGTTCTAATTTGATAAAAATGATATTACTTTTTTCGTTTGATTTTGGTTTTTTCAAAAATTGAATTGTTATGGTTTGGGGTGATTTTGATTTTGAAAGATTGATATCTTTGATGATTAAAGTTTGATCAGAGTAAAGATCGGCTTGCATTTTACTCTTTTCGTCGCCATGGTGTGTGAATTTGGCTTCTAAATTATAACAATAAAATACAAGTGTTGAGTTTGGTTCAATTTTTAATGGATCTATGGTAATTTTATGTTGAATTGATGATTGATCATCGTCAATAAATACATCGTCGTCATCTGGATTAAATTTTTTATCAAATGAAATAACTTCAACAGTATGCTTGATTTCACTCTCTTTGCTAATAACGCTAAAGTCATATGTTTCTTCTTTTTGTGGGCAACCTATTGATGAATTTGAACATGATAATGTTGGTGTGAATAATGTTGATGGTGTAATTGGTGAGTTTGGGGATATTGATAATTTACTATTTAATTGTTGAATAGTTAAGAAATTATTATTTTGTTGTTCAATTGCAATGTTATTATTTGTATTATCATTAGCATTGTTGTTATAGTTATCTATATTTTCATTATTATTTTCATTTTCTTGATTATTACATTCATTTGGTAAAAAAATTGAATCAGTTTCCCAACCACCATTAAAATTGTATGGTTCAAAGTAATTTATATCTATTGATTCATTTGGTTTTTGTCTATGAAATAGTGATAGTTTATTTCCTTTTAAAATTAATAATGTTCTATTATATCCTTCAAATGAACTGAATGGTCCTGCACATCCTACAACAGCTATTATTAATTAAAGTTAATATATATTTTTTTTAAATTATTAATTATTAATTTCTAAATTTACCTTGACTAATTCTCCATGTAAATGGATCATTTAATGTGAAATTTGAAGGTTCAATATGAATTTGTGTTGATTTTCCTTTTCCATTTCTCCATACCATATGGTTGTAATCACCCTTTTCCTTTATTGTCCAATACATTGTATAATTAAAAATATATATGAAATGAAACTCTTTAAAATCTGTAAAAAAAATATTAATAATTAAAAAAAAAAAAAATTAAAAAAAATAATATTTTTATAAAAAAAAAATTAAAATTAAAAAAAAAATAAAAAAATTAAAATTAAATTAAAATTAAAAAAAAAAAAATAAAATAATTTTTACAAAAGGTTTATATATAATTTAAAAACAACTTTATTACTTTTTAATTGATTCGTATAAAATAATATTATTTAATTAAAAAGAGTTAAAATCACCAGAATTATTTGAAAATTTGTTTTTTTTAATTAATTTTTTAAAAAATAAATTAAAAAAAAAAAATTCCAAATTTTTTTTTTTGGCAATATAAATTAAAAAAAAAAATCTATTTTTTTTTTTTTTTTCAATATAATATTAATTATAATTTTTATATAGTTATAATACCACAAATAAATAATAACAAAAACTAGATTTTAGTAAATAATAAATTTTTAAATAAAATAATTTTATAATGAATAATATAAATTATCCAACTCACGAAAAAATTATAGAAGTTGTTGATAAATTACAAAATGAAGCAATAGAAAAGTTAAAGCAATTGGTATCGTTCGATTCTTTATTAGGAAATGAAAAGGATGCACAAATGTATATTGATGAAGTGTTCAAATCATTGGATTTAAAGGTAGATAGATTCGAAATCGATTTAGAACAAATAAAAAATTTACCAGGATTTTCACCAGTTAATTGGTCATATGAGGGCAAAGAGAATGTTATTGGAATTCATGAACCACAACCAAGCGAACATGCATCAAAGCCAAAAGATCAAAGAAAGTCATTGATTTTTAATGGACATATTGATGTTGTCCCAACTGGCCGTGATTCATTATGGAGTCAAAACCCATTTTCACCATATGTTAAAGATGGCAGATTATATGGCAGAGGTAGTGGTGATATGAAAGCCGGCATCATTGCATTCATCATTGCATATAAAGCTATTAGAGAATTAGGTTTTGCTCCAGCTGCTAAGGTATTATTGCAAACTGTTGTAGAAGAAGAGTGTACCGGTAATGGCACATTGGCTTGCTTGGCTCGTGGCTATAAGGCTGATGCAGCTATTATTCCAGAACCATTCCCAGAAATTATCACTGCTCAAGTTGGTTTAGTTTGGTGTAAAGTTAATGTTCGTGGCCGTCCAGCTCATGTTTTAGAAATGACCAGTGGTATTAATGCTATCGATGGTGCAATGTTCATTGTTGGTGAATTAAGAAAGCTTGAAGAAAAATGGAATCAAACAAAACATGATGGTTTCTCAAGCAAATTCCCACATCCATTAAACTTTAATCTTGGTATGATTAATGGTGGTGAATGGACTTCATCGGTTCCATGTGAATGTAATTTTGACCTCAGAGCTGGTTTTTATCCAGGTGTAGACTTAAAATATGTCAGAGAACAATTAACAGCAACCATTGAGGGTGCTGCAAAAGAAAAAGGTTTACCAGTCACCATTGAGTGGAACGGTTTCCAAGCTGAAGGTTGTCTTCACGACAAAGAGGGTGAAATGATGAAGCAATTAGGCGAAACTTATAAAAGTGCACTTAAAAGAGATGCTGTTTATTCACCAGTACTTTGTACTACTGACTCAAGATTTTTTGAACTTTATTATGGTGTCCCAGCAACATGTTTTGGTCCAGAATCTAAATATATTCATGGTATCGATGAAAGTGTTAGTTTAGAAAGTTTAAGAGATGTCACAAGAGTTTTAGCATGCTTCATCTCTGATTGGTGCGGTCTCCAACCACTTCATTAATATATAAATAAAATAAAAAAAAAATAATTAAAATAAAACAAATAAAATAAAAATAAAAAGTAAAATGTCATTATAAAGTATTGTTTAATAAGTTTTTATTTTTTTATTTTTTAATTAAATTTCCATCATTATCTATTGTTAATGTATCTAAACAATCTATAGTTGCCAAAACTTTTAAAATAAATTCATTAAACTCTGGTATCTTTTTCCTATATTCTTGAAGTAATCTAATTCTATCGAAATCATTTGGTTGTTCATCAACTTCTAATATTAATGATTTTAGTTGTTTATGTGTAATAACACTATTTATATATTTGGAATTTGATAGTTTTTCAAATTGTTCGTCTGAAACTTTTTTAAAGTAATCTAAACTCTCTGTAAATTTGCTATCTTTGGGTTCATTTATTGGTTTTTTTTGTGGTGGTGGTGGTTGTTCTATTTCCATTTCGCTATCACTTTCATTGTCTGTTTCATTTTCTGATGAGCTTTCCACACTATTATCACTTTCACTACTACTATTATCACTATTGTAAAGCTCTTCATCTGTTCCTTTATTGTTTAAATTGTTATTATTTACATTATTTACATTATTTACATTATTACTATTTACAATTTCATTATGATTAGTAGTGTTATTATTATTATTATTATTATCATCAGATGTATTCACTCTATTATTTGTTGTTTTTGTTGTTTTTGGTGCGCTATTTTCTGGATGCGATTGTTCTTTATGTTTTGTGAAGCAATTGACTGAGCAACTATATTTAAATAAAAGAATATGTTAATAAAATAAAAGAAAAGGATTGGTTACAAATATACATACTATTTGACTATTCTACATTTAGGACAAACATATTTGGATTCATTCGTTGAGCATATGGAGCATAAAACAGCCATTATTCATATATATGCGAACGAGAAGAAAACTATTATTCATTGTCGTTTTTTTTTTTTTTAATTTTTAATTTTTTTTTAATTTTTTAAATTAATTTTTTTTATTTATTTTTTTAATTTTTTTATAATATAAATTTTATTATAATTTACTGAAATAAATAAAATAAAAATATATAAATAAATTTGATTTTTTTACCCCAACTATTACTCAATATTAAAATGGATAAAAAAAAACAAATAAAATAAAATTACTTTACTCGATAAATATATAATAAAAAATAATAATAACATATCAAACAGGTTCAATGTCACTGTATGTCATAGATATTCAAGATACTTATTTCATCTCAATGAAAAAAAGTTAAAAGAAAAAAATAATAACGAATAAACATGTTATGAATTTTTTTTAAAATAAAAAAAAAATTAACTTTTTAAATAGTATAATTATATTTATATTTATTCAAGAGCAATATCAGAGCATTGATAGAAATCTGGGTATGGTTCACCTGCATTGTTGCTGACATATCTAACTCTTAATACACAGCTTTTACAAGATTGAATTGGGAGGGTAACCTAAATTTAAAAAAAAAAAAAAAATTAATATTTTATTTTATCATAAAAATTAATATTTTAAATTTTAAAATCTAAAAAACTTACAGAAACAGTATAGTTGGTTTGAGATACCATATCCCAAGCGTTGAAATCTGAAATGGTTTGTGAGAGTTGGATGTAATTACCGTTATCACCTCCATAGGAAATTCCAACATCTAAAAATCCTGGGTTTGGTGCATACCAATGGTTATAGTTTTGTTGGAAGAAAACTTGAATGGTTGATCCTGCGGTATATAAGGCAACTGGAGAGCCGGCAGTAGTGTTACCACAATTACTTTCGACTTGATAGCAGGCATTGTCACCTGAACCGATTGGAACACCCCAATTTGGTTGTCTTTGTGGTGGGTCAAAAAGGCATAAATGGGCAAAAGCTACACTGCTTAATTGTAAAGCTAATAAGATACAAGCTAAATATTTGATCATTTTATCTCAACGATTCCAAAAATAATAATGAATATTTTTTTGAAACACAAAAAAAAAAAAATTTTGTAAAAAATTTGAATTGAAAAAAAAATGAAAAAATCTTGGTTCTAAAAAATATCCTTCGAATTGGTTTGTTCCATATCAAAGAATTTTCAAAATATCTTTCTGTCGTCACTCCTTTAAATTATCTTTTTTTTTTTTTTTCAATTAATATTTTATTTTTTTTTTTGTTTTTTTTTTAATTTTTCAAAAACCATCATAGTGTATTTTTTTTTTTATAATTTTTGTTTGAAAAAAAAAATGATGATCAAATACTCACTTTTATTAGTTTTACTATTCGTTGCTGAATGTGTATTTTCATTTTCATGCTGTGTCCCAAAACAATGGTCAGGTTCCTCAAATAGTTATGACTCTGAGGGTAACCAAATCCAAAAAAATTACTTTTATGATTCAACTAAATTATTGGTTAGAATCGATACCATTTATTTAAATGGTAGTTTCAATCAAACCACCTATAGTAGTTATGCTAATTTAACAACCACCGGTTCTGAATGGGTTATGAATAACCTTGACAACACTTGCTATCAAACTGGTCCAGATTATTGGAACGGTCAATGCTTTGGTGATATCTATGGTCTCCCATTCCAATACTCATCTCCAGGTAAAAATGTTTTCTCTAACCCAACCAACGGTATCACTGTTGTCACTGACAGTTACTGCAGACCAACTCAAATCACTAACAAATTAGCCAATATCCAATATAATTTCTTCAACCTTAAATCAGGTGTCTATCAATCAGCCTTTGTTATGCCATCAGTTTGTAAATAAACTATAAAAAAAAGTATTTATAATTTATAAAATTTTATAAATAATCGATTTTTTTTTTTTTTTTTTTTTTTTTTTTTTTTTTTTTTTTTATTTTTTTATTATTTCATTTATAATTTTGTGATGTTCGGTGTGCTATTATTAAAAGATCATGATTATTATTTCCTTTATTTTATTATATTCGAATTTTTTATATTTTTTTATTATAATCATTATAATAAAATTTTTTATTCATGAATAAATTTCATATGAAAAGTTTAAAATTATTTTTGGTGTGTGTTATTTCAAATATTTCGTAATTTTTCAAATATGGCGAATACTTTCACAAAACAGATTTTAATTTTATTTTTTAAAATAAAAAATTTAAAATTTTTAACTTATTTTTTTTTTTTTTTTTAATTTTTTTTATTTTTTTTATTTTTTTTTAAATTAAAAATATTGATTATAAAATTTTTTTTATTATCACTTTTTTATTTTTTTCTTTTTTCATTTAAATATTATTTATTTATTTATTTATATAATTATTTATAAAATGAATAAATTAATTAACTATACCAATGATTATTTAAAAGATACACAACCAGCCAAAGTTGTATGTTATACAGCTGGTATCACTGCAACTTCATTATTATTATACCAAACAATTTCAGATAGAGGTAAAAAAAAACAAAAAAAAAAAAACAAAACAAAATAAAATAAAATAAAAAAAAAACAACAAATTATTAATATTAAATATCATATTAAATTATAGATTTTAAAGAAAATTTACAAAAGAAATTATTTAAAACTTTAAGATCAATGCCAGGTGTTAGTGATGTAGTCAAAAAAGAAAGAGCCAAAGCTAAAGAAAACTTAAAGAGTATTTTCAAGACTGATGTTAGCAATCCACATTATACATTACCATTAAAAGGTGTATCACATGACGCATTGGTTAAAGAAATGAAAAATTTAGCAACAGTTGATGAGTCACATTGGAAAGATTCAAAGGTTAGTGGTTGTGTTTATTTGGGTGAAAAGGAACATACAGATCTCTTAAACGAAGCCTATTCATTATTTTCTTTAAGTAATCCACTCCATCCAGGTGTTTTCCCATCAATTCGTAAGTTTGAAACTGAAACCATCTCAATGGTTTCAAACATGTTAAATGCTCATCCAAAAGTAGTTGGTTCTTTAACTAGTGGTGGTACCGAAAGTATTTTCATGGCTGTTAAAGCTTATAGAGATTTTTATAAAGATAAAACAAATAATCCAGAAATGTAAGTAAAATTACAAGTTCTCTATTTTAAATTTTATTCAATTATTAACAATTTTTTTTTTTTATAAAAATTTAGTGTTGTACCAGTAACAATTCATGCAGCATTTGATAAAGCTTGTGAATATTTAAAAATTAAAATTAGACATGTTCCAGTTGATAAAAATTATAAAGTTGATATAAGTAAGATGAAGAGTATGATTACAAAAGATACAATTTTAGTTGCAGGTTCAGCAGTCAATTTCCCACACGGTATCATTGATGATATACCAGCTATCGCAAAAATTGCACAAGAGAATGGCATTGGTTGTCATGTTGATGCATGTTTAGGTGGTTTCATTTTACCATTTGCTGAGGAATTAGGTTACGATATTCCACCATTCGATTGGAGAGTTCCAGGTGTTACTTCAATTTCAATCGATACTCATAAATTTGGTTATGCCGCTAAAGGAACCTCTGTAATTTTATTTGGTAATAAAAAACTTAGAAGAGCAATGTATTTTGTTGCACCAAATTGGCCAGGTGGTATTTACGCTTCACCAACATTGCCAGGTAGTCGTCCAGGTGGTTTAGTTGCAGCTTGCTGGGCTTCATTGGTAGCTATGGGAAGAGATGGTTTCAGAGAAAAAGCTAAAGGTGTTATGCAAACTACAAAAAATATTATCGAAGGTTTAAAATCAATTCCAGAAATCACCATCATTGGCGAACCAAAGGCTATGGTCATCGCATTCACTTGCGATAATGTATTCTATGTTAACGATTATATGTCAAAGAAAGGCTGGCACTTAAATGCCCTCCAAAGACCAAACTCACTACATATTTGCGTAACTGCTAAAATGCAAGGTATGGATAAACAATTCATTGATGACCTTAGACAATCAGTTAATGATGTTAAGGTTAATAAAGATAATCTCCCAAAAGATGGTACTGCACCAATCTATGGTAGTGCTCACGGTGTCCCTGATAGAGAAATGGTTGGTACTATTTTATCTGACTTTATCGATCAATTAATTACATCAGATCACAAACCATCTCAATCAACCTAAATAACAAAAGTAATATTAACAAAAATTATAAAATAATAATAATAAAAAAAATAATAAAAGGAATAAACAAAACAAATTTCTAAAAATTAAAATGGGTTATTATATACTATATATGGTGAATTTTATATTATATTCGTTATGTTTGAAACATTTTTAAATTGTTCACAATAATTTATACTTTTTTAAATAAAACATTTTTATTTTTAAAAAAAAATATAAATTAATTTTTTTTTTTATTTTTTATTTTTTATTTTTTTTTTCAATTTTTTTTTATTTTTTTTTAAATCAAATTCACAATATTTTATAATTATTAAATAATTTATAATTTTAATTAACAGTTAAAATAATTATACCAGATGAATCATAATGATTTAGGATGGGATGATGATACTGATTTAGATGATTTTGATTCAAATCCAGAAGTTAATTTAAAACAATCAAATAATAATAATATTAAACAAACAACAAATACAACAACAACAACAACAAAAACAACAGCAACAACAGCAACAACAACAGCAACAAATACCACACCAAATTTAAAGAGACAGCTTTCATTTAATCAATTATTAGATTCAGTTTCAAATTCATTACCCTTTCAATTGGAAATAATTAATACTCCAAATAAAACATCACCCACACCAACAACAAACAATAGTTTAAATAATAGTTTGGGTAATAGTTTAAATAATAGCGGCAACACAATAGATAATAATTTTAACAACAACAACAATAATAATAACAATAACAATATGAAACAACCACAAACACCGAACCAACAACCAATTAATAAAATATTTAATAGTACTAGTAGTTTAGATGATATTATGCAATCACCTCCATCATTTAGATATCAACCAGAATTAAATGGCGCAAATAATTTAGACTCTAATAATGATACACTATATTCAAAAGAGGTTATAAATATTATCGAAAAATATAAAAAAGAAAATTTCGACTTAAAATTAAGAATATTTTATATGAATCAAAACTTGTCAATGATCAATGAACAAAAGGATATATTTCAACAAAATGTAGATTTAAATGTCGAATTAGAAGATACCAAAGAGAAATTGGAGGAAAGAAATGGCATGGTTATAAAATTAAGTAAATTGGTAGAGAATTTAAAAGAAAAGGTTGAAAAGCTTAGACAAAAAGAAGAGAAACTAAAGAATGATTTAGATGAAGTTACCAAAGCAATTGACCAGCAGCAGGGCGAAAAGTCTGGTGATAAAGATAAATATAATGGCAAACAGTCACATCCACCACAACAACAACAAGTCGTAATTCAATATACAAAAGACCCAGAAGACAAAGATAAAATTCAACAACAGCAATCCCAAATCGAGCAACTAAATGACCGATTAGCAAACTATGATGACCAAGTTAGGGACTTAAAATCACAGATTACCTATACCAACCAAGATATCACCAATCAAAGAAATCGTTATGAAAAATATCAATCTCAATTAGAGGATTCATTAAATAAATTAAAAGCTGCCGAGCAAGATCTTTTGGATAGAAATTCAGATTTAATGAACCAAATTCAACAATTAAAGGATCAATTGGACCAAGCCTCAAATGATATCGGAGATTCTACTCAACATCAAAATGAAAGAATTGATCAGCTCTTGAAAGAACTCAAAAATACTAAATCGAAATTGGATACTTTGAAAGGTCATTATGAAAAGTTAAAAGGTCATTATGAACAATTAAAAGAGCATTACCAAAATGTAGTCGATCAAGTAGACCCACTTCGTGATAGAGTCATAGAGCTTGAGAATATTCTTATAGAAAGAGATAGAGAAATAGAGTCCATTATTCAACAAAATGATTTCAATATTATTCAAATGAACTCTGATCATCAAGATTTACTTAACTCAAAAGTTAAAGAGATTACAGAGCTCCGTAACCAAATTAAACGTATTCGTGAAGAGTTTTATGCAAGCTCGTTACAACAAGAGAATGCCGCAGCTTTACAAGAGACCTATAGAAGAGATGTTGAAACTTTACAAACTGAAATCAATCATCTTCATCATGTAAATCAAGAATATGAAAATCAATTGACAGCCAAGCTTAAAGTAATTGCAGATTATGAAGGCCACTTCTCTCACCTTGAAGCTATTCATTTCAAGACCATGCAAGATATCGATCAAAAGGTTAAAGATTTAAAGAACGTCAGCGAGAGACACAAACAACATCAAGAACAATACAATGAATTAGAGGCAGAGTTAATTGTTCAAAAGAATCGTTATAAAGATTTATATGAAAGCTATTTGAACATTGAACAGTCAAATAAAGATTTACAAACAAGAATCGAAGACTCATTAAAAAAACAAAAAGAAATCACTCAAGATCTAATTGAACAAGATAACAAATACAAAGAAGAAATGAAAATACTTTCAACCAATTATAGCCAACAGTTAGAAAGACAATTGGAAACAAAGAATGAAAAGAGTGACTTTATCATTAAAGAAATGAAACAACACTTTAAGCAATTAGAAAATAAGACCATGTCAAATCTTTCACAAAAACTAATGAACATTTTAAAGAACTTTACAACAACATTGAATGGCAACAACCCTGATGATGAAATAAATAGAGTTAACCAGTTTATTCAAGATAGGGTATTGGAGAATAAGAATGGTGATATTGATATTGATGAATCTATACTAAACTCATTAGAAGAGCTAATTAATATCAAAATTGAAGATTTTAAACAAGTTACTCAAAAACAACAACAATCAATAAAGGGAATCGACTACCAGTTTAGACAACGTTGTGATCAATTCCAACTATTAATTGATGAGAAATCACAAATGATCGATATTTTAGAAATCAAATTAAATCAATTTAGAAATGAATCAATTCAACAAAAATCACTCAGCGAGAAATTGGAAGAAGAGCGTATCAATAATCAATCAAAGATTTATCAAACTGAATATCAAAAATCAATAATGGGCTATAAACAACAAATCGATCATTATAAACAACAGCTTGAAAACACCCACAACCATTACCAACAACAACTCAACAAACAACAAGAAGATATTCAAAATCTTAATGATCAAAAACAAAAGTATGAACACTTACAAAAAGAATTTTTATCATTTAAAGAACTTCACCAAAAAGAAATAAACAACCACTATCACCAATATCAATTAGAGTTACAAAAGCAACAATATCAAAATGAACAACAATTAAAAAATTTAATGCAACAACAACAAACTATAACCTATAATCAACAACAACAACAACATAATAATAATAATAGTTCAATTAGTAATAAAAAAAATACTAATGATGTTCAAATGATTTCAATTTCAGATTTAGATGGCAGTACAGCAATTGTTAATAATACTAATAAACAAAAAGAATTAAAGGATAAAGAATGGATCGAAAGTACACTTGAGGATTTAAAAAAATTAGAAAATGAACACAAAAAACTTAATGATAAAATTAAAAAAGTAGATTCAGAAATTAAATCTACAAAGAATTCAATTCCACCAACCACCAAACAAGATTCGAGCGATAAAATGATGGTTAATAAGCAACCTAGACAGTCACAATTACCTTTTAACAATGCTTTAGTTAAAGATCAGATTGTAGAATTAAGTAAATTATTAAAACAACAGCAACAATTAAATTCTCAAAATGTTGAGTTACCAAAAGATGTAACTATTATATAAGCTATTAATATAAATAATTTTTTAAAATTACTAATCATAATTTCTATTTATAGTTTTTATCAAGTATCTTAAATAGTATTAAAGAATTGCGTACCCATAATAAATTATTAAGTTTTGAATTTGATAACAGAAATAATAAATATAATAATTTAATCCATACTTTTAGCAATTATCAACAACAAGTAAAAGAAAAACTAAAATCATCAGGCACAGGAGCATCATCAACTAGATTTAATCAGTCAACAAATGTACCAAAATCATCGCAATCTCCAGTAGTCGGTGTTTCAAGAGTACCTAATCAAAATAATTCAAAATCAATGTATATTCCTTCATCAGCATCGTCATCCTCATCATCATCAACTACTACTACCACAACAACCACAACAATTACATCTGACCAACAAAAAAATCGACAACCACAAAAAACATCAACTGATAACAATAAATTACCAAACAAACCAAATGACAATGTAAGTTATTAATTAATAATTTTAATATCACTAAAAAATTTAATAATAACATTTTTTTATTTTTTTATTTTAGAAATCATTAAATAATAAAAATCAAGAATCTTACCAAATCAAAGGTAACAATAATGTAAAATTAGAAACAATAAGAAAAATTGATTCAATTAACAATGATTTAATAAATATTTATGACCATTTAAAATAAAAAATAAATAAAAAAAAAAAATAAAATAAAAATAAAAATAAAAATAAAAACCATATATCATATTAAACTATTTATTTCTTTTTACTTAGAAAAATTTATTGATGATTAAGAATATTAATTTTGTTTTAAAATATCCCAAAAAAAAAAAAAAAAAAAAATGTATATATATGGAAATTAAACAAAAAAAAAATTTTAATATAATTTCGATCACATAAAAAATATTCCATTTATAAAAAAAAAAATAAGTGAACTTAGTTTACAAAAATATTTTTTATATAGTAATATTTATACTAAAAAAAGATTTAAAAAGCCTAATAAATCTTTTTTAAAATAAAAAAAAAATTAAAAAAAAACTTTAATTTTAATTTTTTTTTTTAATTTTTTTAATTTTTTTTTTTTTATTTTTTCATTTTTTTTTATTCAAATCAATTAAAGAAAAAAAAATTTTTTAAATTTTTATTTCGTTTCACATCTCATTATAATTATAATATTTATATATTTATATAAATAAATTTCACTTTCACCCTTACACATACTCACACACACACACACAATAAACATAATTCAGTTTTTATAAATTTTTTAAACACATACTCACACACGTTCAAATATATATATTAATATTCACACATACAAAACAAATAACCAACAAATTATATACATATATTTTTTTATTATATCTAATTATTTTATTTTAATTTTTTTTTTTAAAAGAAAAAAAAAAAAAAAAAGAAGAATAATAGCTATTAATGTCAATAGAAGACAGAAATCTTTTAAATATACCCTCAACTTCATCCTCGTCAAGATTAATAAACTTTAATAATAATAATAATAATAACAATAGTTTTAGTAACATTAATACAAGTAATAATATAAATAATATAATAAGAAAAGATACTATGCTGGCATCATCACTGGGTAGTACAATTACAAATGGAAACCCATCATCACCGAATCAAAACAATGATGATTCAATATTAAGTAATAATAGCTCAACCAATACAAACAATAACCCAATAAATAATAATGAATCAAATCAAACTTTAACACCAAATAAAGGATTTTTAACACCAAATACACAAACACAGCCTAAAACACCAAAAACTATGAGATTTGAAGTAAACTTAAAGAGCATGAAGGGTGAAGTTGACTATAAACAATTGGTAAAGAATTACATTCAAGATCAAAACAAAGAGAAAATTAGTAGTAGTTTTTATGGTGCAGCCCCAAGTAATGATTATAGAGAGAATTTTGAAATAGAAAAAGAACTAAACACATTAACAAATCCAAAGAATAGATTGACTGAAGTAATCGATAAGATTGAAAGAATTAATACGTTAGGTTCCAATATTAACTATATGGAGGATGGGGAAAATAGTGAGGATCAATATGACGAAGATGACTCATTCATCGATGACAGTCAAATTATAGATTTCGATGATGAATTAGAAACAAATTATGGTGGTTTCTTTGTTAATCAAGGTGAGGTCGAACATAAAGAAAGAACGTTTATAGACTATGAGGACGATGATGATTATGAAATCGAAATGATGGCAAATGGAAGAGGTAGCTCTAGCAACAAACATGTGAATGGTATGATTGGTATTGATAAAGCAGGAGCCGGTATTTCATCAACAACAGCAGTAGCAGCACCATCAATCTCATCAGCAACAACAACAACAGCAACTGTAAAGAAAAGAAAGTTTGCTGACGATCAATCTTCAGCCAACAAGAAACATAAAATTGTACTTTTAGATCCATCATCACCAGAAATTGAAAGTTTACTTGCGAAATTGGAAGAAGAGATCAAAATGTTCCAAAAAGAAAATTTAGATTTAAAACTTTTACCAAAGAAAGAAGCTCCACTTTTAGCCAAACTATATGAAAAACTTAGAAGAACAAATACAGCTGGTTATATTCCAAGTTCAATTTTAAATAGACTTTCAACACTTTGGGGTATCAAAGAAAAAACTATTAAGGTTCACTTAAAGAAAGCATGGGAAGATAATGGCCAAAAAACTCAAACCAAATCAATTAAATCAATCGACAAATTGAATGAACTAATGATAACATTCAAGAACTCAGTGGAAAAAGAATTTGCTGATCAAGTTTTTTCAAATAATAATAAAGCAATCACCGTTAGTATCGAAGGTGTGGAGAAGCCACTGGAATATACCTGGAGTAGAGATTCAAGAGAGAGAGTTTTCGAAATTGTAAAATTAAATAAAGAAATTATCGATTTAAAAAACTCTACCGAAGTTATTGACGCCGAAAAAACTGGTAGACCACCTGTACTTATTATAGAAAAAACATCTCGTTCAAATTTATATAAAAAAATTGTAAACCTATTACCCGATACTGGTATTACTCCAAAATCACTTTCAAATGCCTACACAACAATTAGAACCATTGAAAGAAAAAGAGAAAGAAAATTAGAAGAAGCCGCCGCAAATAATGAAGAAAAGAACAAACCACAATTAACAACAACAACAACAACAACAACCTCTATGATGCCTCCTGCTCCATCAAGTAATAAAGATAGAAGTAGTGATAGAAGTAAAGATAGAGGTGATAAAGAAAAAAGTGAAAGGGATCATCATAGCAGTAGCCACCATCGTAGTAGTGATAGAAGCGATAAAGAAAAGAGTGATAGAAAAGATCGAGATTATCATAAATCCTCAAGCTCAAGTCATCAAGGCAGCGATCATCATAAATCCTCAAGCTCAAGCAGTGGTGATAAAGAAAAAAGAAGAGATAGAGATAGAGAAAGAGATAGATCAGATAGAGACAAAGAAAAATCAAAAGATAGATCCGACAGAAAAAGTAGCAGCAGTAGTAGCAGCAGTAGTGGTACAAAAGATTATTCAAGTAGCTCAAGTAAAAAAGAACACAGCAGCAGCAGCAGTAAAGAATCCGAAAAAGATAGAGAAAGAAGAAAAGAAAGAGAACGTGAAAAGGAAAGGGAAAGAAGAAAAGAAAGAGAGCGTGAAAAAGAACGTGAAAAAGATAAAGATAAAGATAAAAAGATTAAAGATGTTGATCTCGATATTATACATGACATGAATTCATATAAAAAGAAAACAAGTAGCAGTAATAGTAGTTCATTATCATCACCCCCAACAAGCAGCTCAACAACTTCTACATCAACTTCAAATATAATTTAATTAAATTATTAAATATTCATAATAAAATTATCAATAAATAATAATTTTAATTATTAATTATAATTTTTTTTTTTTTTTTAGTTTGAAATATGTGAATAAAATATAAAAATCAACAAGATTTTTAAATAATTTATTAAACTTTTTAATAACAAATATTTGAATAGTAATATTGTCTTTCTTCACTATCACTACTACTACCTTTGGATTGGGATTCAGATGATCCGCTGCTACTTCCTGAAGTTAGATAGCTGGAGAGATTTGGATTTGAACTAGAACTAACACCCATAAATGATTTATAAGAGTTACCACCAGTTGATGATCCACTTGAACCAGTGGATGTTCCACTTGAACCAGTGAGTGATCCACCTGAACCAGAGCAAGTTCCACTTTGGCATGCAGTATATGAAGATGTATAATAAGTGGATGAGTTATAAAATGGAGGGGTTATTTCACAAGTTGCGTAATTAGTGGTTGGTGCATTACAATTTGGTTTGTTCTTTGGGCAAAAAATACTCATTGGTTGATTACTTGAATCACAATAATAAATCATTTCTTTATCATTGCTATTAACATAGGTACCATTAACAAAAATTTGAGCTAATAAAATATTATCAGTTTGACAACTTTCACCCATATAAACGTTAGCCATTGAATTTTTTTGAATTAATGGTTTTGATGATAAAGAAACTTTGTAAAAAAATTGTTTTCCAGTAGCAGTAAGCCATAAATTTAATTTATTTGTTAAACCATTTGATACAATACAAGAATTAACAGTATATTTCATTGGGTATCCTTTTGTTTGATTACATATTTCAATGCCGACACCATAATAAGTTTGATAAGTGATTACAGAACCATCTACTGTGAATTTATTGCTTGAAACTTCATCAAAAGTGAGGCATGTATCAGTAACAATTGAAAATCCTACGCCATAAAATGGATTAGGATCTTGACATTTTGGATCATTGAAAACTTCAAAGTTAACAAATTGATTTGCAAGATTTGCAAGACTTGCAAAGCAACAGTTTGAAGCTATACCTAATAATAATAAAGTAAATAATAATTTCATTTTTTTTTATGCAATGAAATAAAAATTTAAAATATTTTATAGTTTTTTTTGTCTCCTAAAATTTTTGAATTTTTTAAGGAATAATGAGGTGGGAAAATTTTTAAAAATAAAAATAAAAATAAATTTAAAATAATAAAGTTTCCAAATCCTAAAAAATCTTAGGTTTTGGAATTGTTATGTGCAAAAAATGTCTGGTACCAGGCTTTTTCGGAAAAAGAATTAATTTTCCAAATCTATTTTTTGAAAATTCAATTTAAAATTGTTTATTAATAAATTTTTTTTAAAATATTTTTTGTTTTTCTTTTATTTTTTTTTTTTTACACACAAATACAAAAATAAAATTGTATCGTTTTTTTTTTTTTTTCTTTTCATAAAAATAAATAACTAAATATTAATACTGTGGTTAATATCGATTGGATGCTAAATTTTTAATTGTTATTATTCTTAATAAATTAACTTTTTAATCTCTGATTATTATTATTATTATTATTATTATTATTATTATTATTATTATTATTATTATTATTAAATTATTATTATTATTTTCAAATTATTATTATTATTATTATGTAAAAGTAAAATGGTGATAAATGAATGAGATGGTTTATTTATAATTTTCAATTAATCTTCTACAAATTTCAATAAAAAGTTCATTAATATTTTGACCAGATGCGGCTGAGGTTTCAAAAAAGATGGCGTTACCCAACTCTGAAATATAACGGTTAACTTCATCTACTGGTACTTCTCTATTTGGTAAATCCACTTTGTTACCTGCCAATGCTAAAATAAGATTTGGTGATGCATGTTTTTGAAGTTCTGATACCCATCTCTTTAAGGTTTCAAAAGTATTCTTTTTAGTAATATCGTAAACAACAACAGCTGCTGCTGCACCTCTGTAATACATTGGGGTTAATGATCTATAACGTTCTTGACCTGCTGTATCCCAAATCTCCAATTTAATATTTATATTATCTACAACCATACTTTTAACTAAAAATGCGGCACTATAAAAAATTTTAAATAATAAAAATTAATATTTCTTTCTTTTTTTTTTATATAAAGTAACTGTGCAATTATTTACCCAATGGTTGAATCAGTTGGTCCAAATTCGTTTCTAACTAATCTTGATGAAATACAGGTTTTACCGGTATTCATTTCGCCTAATAATACTAATTTAAAACCTTTATCAAACTTATTTTTATTATCATTATTATTATTAATTATAACACCTAAAAAAAACAAAAAAAAAAAAAAAAAAAAAAATTAAAAAAACATTAGTTTTTTGAAATAGTTTAATGATATTTACAATGATTACTATTAATGAGAATTTTGTTTTTATAAAAAAACATTCAGTACTTACTTCCTTGATTTTGGTTTTTATTTGCTTCAGCAGAACCTCCACCACAACATCCACCTTTTTCTTGTTTGTTATTATTTGACATTATTATTATATATGTGTAGGTATATTTGTTTTGATTTTTTGATTTATTTTTTGATTTCGATTTAGTTATAAATGTTGTTTAATCAATTTTGATTTGTTTATTAATAAAAATTATTGTTTTTATTTACAAAAAAAAAATATTAATAATATTATTAAATATTTGTTTGTTTCCTATATTTGTTAGTGTAGGTTGATTATAATTATTATTATCAAAAAAATAGATTGTATATGGTGAATAAAAAAAATAATAAAAAGCTTGGTAGTTTTTTTTCTCTAGAGTTGGTTTGCGAGTAAAGTAAAAAAAATTAAATATAAAAAAAAAAAAAAAAAATAAAAAAAAAAAAAATTTGGATTTTTTCTTTTGTTTTTATTTTTTTTTTTTTTTTATTTATTTTTATAATTTTTAAAATTATTTCTTTTCTTAAATAAATTTCATATAAATATGATACTAGATAACTAAAAAAAGAATAAAGTTTGATAATAGGAATATTTATATTAAAATATTTTGAACACACTTTTTCTTCATATAAAAAAAAAACCTATTAAATGAATTAAAATTTAAAATTTTTATTTTTAATAATTTATTAATTTTTTTATTTATTTTTTAAATACACATACACACAACAAAACAAATAATAATAATAATAAAAATATTTCTCTCACTCCATAGAATATTTTTTGTGTAATAAAAAAAAAAAAAAAAATTATTAGATTTTTTATTATTAATAATAAAATATTACAATTATTTTATTTTATTTTTAATTATATTAACTCATTCATTCATTTATTTAAGTTTATGTGATATTTAAAAACTTAATATTATAATATTTTTTTTTCAATTTTTATTTTTTTAAAATTTTTTTAATTTATTTTTTTTTATTTTTTTTATTTATTTTAAAAACAACAATAATTTTTTTTTTCTATTTACACACACTCACTACTTTAGACCTATTAATATATATATAAACATTAATAATAATTTTATATAAAACAAAAAAAAAAAAAGCTAAACAAATAATAAATTCATAAATAATTAGAGCAATTTTTTGTCATAGAATAAATAAAAAAATAGATATAAATAAAATAATTATAAAACATAAATAAATATATAGCATAAATAAATATATAGCATAAATAAAATATTACATTTTTTTATATATTTTTTTATAAAGGTTTAGTTGTTTTGTTTCTTTTTTTTTTTTTTGTTTGCTTTTTAGTATTTTAGTTTTTATTTTTTTTTTATTTTTTTTTTTTGTAAATATAATTAAATAAATTCAGAATAGTTATAATAATAATAATAGTAAAAATATAATTGTAAATTTGTAAATAATAATCAAAATAACAAAGAATGAATTCACAAAAACTCCCAGATTTGTACGAGTTTATGGGTGTAGCTCATACAGCAAGTAATGAAGAAATAAAAAAATCTTATAGAAAATTGGCAAAAGAATATCACCCAGATAAAAATCCAGGTTCAGACGAAAAAGTATAGTTTTAATAATAAAAAAAATAAAAAAAGATTTAAAAAAAGATATTAACATTTATTAATTTATAGTTTAAAGAATTAAATGCAGTTTATGAAATTTTATCAGACCCACAAAAAAAGAGAACCTATGATATGTTTAGGGATTCAAATATGTCAATGCCAGAGTTTGCAGCCAGATCAGGTCAAGATTATGCAACATTAGAAAAAGAAATTGAGGGTTTTATGTGTGGCTCTGTAATTGGTATACTATATTCATTAATTGCAATCTCTGTTAATGTAATTTTTGGAATACCATTAACCACCGCATTCTTTCGTAAGTTTTATTTATTATTTCTATTGTTATTATTATTTATCATACTAATATGATTGTTTTTAGCATCAATGGTATTCTTTATTTCGCCTGTTGTAATTTCGGGTGGTAGTAATTTTTCAAAAGGATTTGCATTGGGTGGATGTGCTGGTATAGTGACATCACCATTTATTTTGGCGGTACAAATTTTCTCCTATAGCAAATATTTAATTGAAAAACCAATTAGATATATCTTTGGTAAAGGAGATTCTGAAACAATGACAGGCCAAACATTATTATTAAATGAAGATGACTGGGAATTTATAAATAGACAAAAAGCAGAATATGAAAAGATTGACGAAATAGAGAGAAATTGGACTTTTCTTCATGACAATCAAGATAAATATAATCAAGACTCTTTTAAAAATATTTCACTATACACAAATTCAATTGAAAGTATCAAAATCTCTGCTAGGGTTATTAGAGAACATTACGAAAAACAAGATAATACTTTCGAGTCCGATTTAATTTTAGCAAAATTAAGAGAATCTTTAGTTGTAAGTATTTTAAATTATAACAATATTTAATAAATTTTATATTAATATTTTATTATTTTTTTTACTATTATAGTTTATAAATGATATAGAAAGTATAATTAAAGAATATTCAAATAAATGTAATAATAACTGCGATAATGGAAATAGTAGTGAGGGCGATCAAAATAATAAAAATAATAGTCAAGAGAATAGCGATAGGGATAACATTAGCAGCAACAGCAATAATAATAATAGTGATATAGATAGTGTATGTAAAAAAATTAATTCAAATTTAGATCAAGTTTTAGGTTTTATTAAAGCAGAAAACGGTGGTTACATAAATATGAGAATATTAACATTACTCAAAAACATGGAACTGTTTGTAGAAGAGTTTGTATTTAACCAATTTGAATACTACCAAATTTAAAATAATATTAATATATTATACATCACACATATATAAACAATGTTTTTAAGCTCAACATAAAAAAAATCAAGAATAAATATTACATTATATAAAATAAAACCTCAATATAATAAATGTTTTTGTGTATAAAAATTAATACACAAAAAATGTTAATAAAAAAATTATTTAAATTAGAATTTAAAGAAAAAGTTTTTTTAGATTTTTTTTTTTTTTTTTTTTTTTTTAATTTTGGATTGATTTACTGACGATTTAAAAGACTGACAAAGTACTGACAATCATATAATTTTATTTTAAAGGAAAAAAAAAAATGTTTTATTCATTATTATTGCAAAAAAAACAAAATATAAAAAACTTTAAAATATGGAATTTATTTCTAGCACTATAGTACCATCCATTACTTTTTCTCCATTCGAAAGCGATGATAAACCTTCAAACATTTTCGGTTTCAATAATTCACTATCCTCAAGTTTCTTGCACCTAAGTATTCCATTGGATAGTCCTCAAGAAAGTGAATTCTGCTCTACACATGTATTGTCCAATAGCTCTTATTATAGAAATTATGATTTTATTGACGATAATATAGACCAGGACGAAACTATTAATAAAAATAATTTCGATGATGAATATAGTAATAGCCAACTCCAATACAATTTTATAAAACAGCAAACAAAAGAAATTTGCGAATTAGATATTAATTCAAGATATGCCATAATAATAGAAGATGATGAAGACGAAGACTACAATTCTAAATTAGAAGCTGATACTTATTTAGACTATTATATAAATATGTAAATAAAAAAAATAAAAAAAAAATAAAACTATTTCTTATATATAAATCATTGTTTCTGTTTTCTTTCTTTTATTTTTTAATTTTTAATTTTTAATTTTTATTTTTGTATTTTTTTTTTTTTTTTTTTTATATAGTAACTAAATTATAATAAAACCAAACAAAAAAAAATATTTATTTTTATTTAATTAATTAATTTTTTATTGTTTTGTTTTATTGTAATCATCGAAAAAATTCGCTATCTTTATAACAGTGTTTTAAAATGTCAATTTTTAAATAATTTTCAAATAATTTTTCAAAGGTGATTGATTACTTTATACCAATTTGATGATTATTATTAAAAAAAAAATAAATAAGGATTCAATTATTTGAATTTTAAAAAAAAAAAAAAAAAAAAATTAAAAAAAATAAAATATTTTAAAAAAAAAATTAAAAAATTAAAAAAAAAAAGAGAAGGAAAAAAATCAATATATATTTATATATTTATTTTTTATAAATAATAATAAATAGTAATAAAATTATAGTATAGTAAAATTTATTTTGTTTATAAAAAAAAATAATATCACCACAAACACACACTACACAACCAACATTTTTTTATTATAATCTTTAAAAAAACCACCATTCTTATTTTTTATTTTTTTTTAATTTTTTTAAATTTTTTATTTTTTATTTTTTATTTTTTATAACATTTAAATAGAATATAAATAATAAAATCAAAAAAAAAAAAAAACCTATATATAAATATCGTATATTATAAAACAAATAAAGTTTTTTTTATTTTTTTTTTTTTTTCTTTTACCTTTTTCAATTGTAAAACTATTTAAAAAGAATGGAGGAAAAGAATTTCAGACCTCAGCTGCTAGTGCATTCAAGAAATAATAATGACGAAGTAGAGGTTTTAAAAGTAAAGCTAAAGGAAGAAAGAGAACTGTTTGAAAAAGAAAAACAGCAATTTGAAGAAGAAAGAAAGATAATATTTGACTCTCTTAATAAGATTGTTGGAAGTGGTAGTGCTAACATTGGTAAAAATATAGTGAAGGCATTAAAAAAAGCAGAGAAATATAATAGTAAAAGTTATGTAAATAGTATTAGCCAACAACTTAATAATGTAAATAGTAGTAATAGTAATAATAGTAATAATAGTAATAATACAGTAAATAATAATATAGCCAGCAATGGAATTGGTACACCGTTTAATGTAAAACACAATGTTCATGTTGATTTCGATTATAAATGGACTAGTAATGAAAATTTGGAAGAAGTTTTTCAATTTCAAGAGCAACTAGGTACTGGTAGTTATGGTAGTGTACATAGAGCAATTAATAAAGATACCGGTTTTGAATTAGCAGTAAAGGTTATTCCAATTAAAGACTCTGAGGAGATCGAAAAGGAAATCAGCATTTTAAAGAAGTGTAAAAGTTCAAATATTGTTAGTTACTATGGGTCATGCCAACAAGGAGAAAATCTTTGGATTCTTATGGAGTACTGTAATATTGGTTCAATTAGAGATCTTTTAGAAACTACTGAAAAAACATTAAATGAAAAGCAAGTTTCAATTGTTGTCCAGCAAGCATTAAAAGGTTTACATTATTTACATCAAAATCAAATTATACATAGAGATATTAAAGCAGCAAATATTTTATTAACTGATGATTCGGGTGTTAAATTAGCAGGTTTGTATTTATAGTTATTTTGGAAGTAATAATAGTAAGAAAAAATATTAATTTTAAATTTATTTTTTAAAAGATTTTGGTGTTTCAGCAGTATTGGATGATGTTATGGGTTCGTCAACAACTTTTATTGGTACACCACTATGGATGGCACCTGAAATTATTCAAAAGAAACCATACAATAATAAATGTGATATTTGGAGTTTAGGTATATCAATAATCGAAATGATTGAAGGATTTCCACCTCATTGGAGTATGCCACCAGCTAGGGCAATGCTAATGATACCCAATAAACCACCACCAGCATTAACCAAAGCGCATCATTACTCAAAAGAACTTAATGACTTTCTTTCGTTGTGTTGTCAAAAAGATCCAGAGAAAAGACCATCAGCATTAGATTTATTAACACACCCATTTTTAGCTCAAACATCAACTAGTCATGAAGTTTTAAAACCAATAATGGACGAGTGTTTAAAGAAGAATCAAAGTCTTAGAAAAAAGAAAAATGAATTACAAAGTGGTAACATTATACCACCAGCTGTACCAATAAAGAAAGCTTTAAATGAAAGTAATAATAATCAACCATTATCCTCATCACCTTCAAATAATGTAAATAATAGTAAATATAATAAAAAAGAGTCTAGTAAATCAAATGGTCAACCAAATTCATTAGATGAAGCTCAGTCCTTTAATACATTCATACTAAAGAGCACTGTTGGTAGCGAAGAAAGTAGTTCAAATGAAGATTGCTTTGACACAATGATTTTAAAGGATGATGGTCCAACTGACTCCAAAACAACTATACCTGCATTCATAGCTGCTTTAAAGAAAACGATTGGAAAAGAAAACTCAATAGCCTCAATTGTACCAGAACATCAATCACCTTCAAATATTAATAGTAAATTAAAAACTTTTGAACCAATAAACTCTGCAAATCCAACTCCAACCCCTCCTTCCTCGGCAGCAACAACATCGAGTAGTGATAATGAAGTATTAATTAATCAAATTAAAAAAGAATTAATTAAAGATTTTAATGACACAATGAAACAATATATAAATGAACAGCTTACAACAATGAAAGAGGATTTATTGAAAGAGATATCAAAACTAATAACAAACAATAATAGCAAGCCATTAAATGCATTTAATCAGCAATTGTCTGCTGCTGGACCACCTTTAGTTACATCATCAAATAACTCACCATCATCACCTTCAATATTTAAGAAATTCCCATCGCCACCACCTGTTCCAACAATACCAAATAAACAACCAACTAGCTCACCAATTCCAATTCCAAAAACTACAGTATCAACTACCACATCATTTGTACCATCTTCATCATTTGTATCACCTTTACCATCTTCACCTTTACCATCCTCACCCTTAGGCTCTTCACCACTAACATCTGTAAATACACCAAACAAACCACCAATTAATTATAGAAAATCGAGAGAGATTGAGCAGTCATCATTATCCACTAGCACCGGTAGTTTAAATACAAGACCACCATCACCAAGAAACTCAATGAATAACCGTCCCCCTTCACCAAAAACATTTGGCAATCGTCCACCATCACCAAAATTAAACAATAGACCAAACTCACCATCAAATAGACCCCTATCACCAAAAAATAGTTTAGATAAAGCAAATAGTGCTGCACTTAGTGATGATTTTGTTCCAAACTCTCCATCAACAAGACCAAGACCTGTGCCACCACCAAGACACCCATCTAAACAATCACCAAAAAGAGCTCCATCACCATCATCTAAAAGATTATCCTTATCACCAACCTCAATTTCATCACCAGTAAATAAACCAATTTCATCATCAGCTCCTTCATTATCCTCGCTCTCAATAGCAGCTTCAACATCATCTATCTCTGCACCAAACCTATCATCAAACACACCACCCTTATCGGTGCCACAATCACCAAATACCAACAACATTAATAATAAAGATAGAGCCCCACCACCTCTTCCACCACCACGTTCAATTTCGACACCAACAAAAACACCAATTAATAGTAATAGTAGCAACCAACTATCAAAATCACCAGGATCACCATATGTCCCACCAAGAACAACCACTGCATCATCATCAACACCAATTGTTATTAAAAGATCATCCACAACTATATCTCCAATGTTAATTAGCACCAACTCCCCTAAACCAATATCTTCAAGACCACCTGCATCAACTCCTCCACAACCAATATCAACCACAACACCTCAACCATCATCGTTAAAAAATTCAGATGGATCATCATCATCATCATCAGGCTCATCATTATCAATATCATCAAATACACCTACAACCCAATCTACAACAAAAGCAATCAATGATGGAAATAGTAGTGTTAGTAGTTCAAAATCTCAAACCATAGGTCGAAAAACTGTACTACAAGTTAAATCAATTTTTAGTCCGTTAAAAAAACAATAAATAATAATATTAAAAATATAATAAATTTTAAAAAACTATTATAGTTGTGTTAAAAATTGATAAAAAAAACAATCAAAAAATGTGTATCAAATTGCAAATTTAAAATATAAAACAATTATTACAATTATTTTTAAATATTTGCCATAAAAGACAATTTTTAATTTTTTTTTAAAAAAATTTTTTTTAATTTTTTTTATTTATAAATTAAATATAATTGTGTTTAATTTTTTTTTTTATTCTTTTTTTTTTTTTTATAAATTTAAATATATCTAAAATTAATCTCAAAGAGATATCTATATATATACATATGGTGAAGTTCTTTTAAAATTATCATAATCTATTTTGTGTGACACCCAAATAAAAAAAACAGGTGAAAAAAAAAAAATTTTTTTTTTTTTTTTTTTTTTTTTTAATTTTTTTTAAAATTTTTTGAAAAAAAAAAAAAAAAAATTTCACAAAAACGAACATTATAATTCATTTGGTTATATATAATTGTTTATATATAGATTTAATAAATTAAAATGCCACCAAAACAAGCAGCTTCAAAAAAAACTGTAGAAAAAGAAAAGAAAAAGAAAATCGAAGGTATGGTTTTTATAAACAATAAACAATGATCAAAACAAAAATATTAATAACATTGAATATTTCTCAACTTTATTATTTAGATAAAACCTTCGGTTTAAAAAACAAAAATAAGAGTAAAAAGGTCGCAGCTTACGTTAAAACTGTAGAAACTCAAGTTAAAAACTCTGCTTTACAAAACAAGGTAAATATCACCCAAACATTAAAAACTAACACAAAACAATAGCAAAATTACAGCACAGTGTATTATAAAGAAGAAAACAGCATCAAAACACACCAAATATTATTTTTGTGCAATCATTATTATAATTATAAAATAAAAATAATCATAATCACTTAATATATATTTTACCAGAAAGAAATTTAAATTAATCAAAATTTTTTATTTAAAAAAAAATAGGATGAAAGAAGAAAGATGGAAGCTAAAAAAGAAAAAGAATTACAAGCTCAAGCTAAAAAAGATATGGAATTAATGGCACAACAAGTTGCCATTGTTCAACCAAAAGTTCCATTAGGTGTTGATCCAAAATCAATTGTTTGTGAATTCTTCAAACATAATCAATGTAGCAAAGGTACCAGATGTAAATTTTCACATGATTTAGCAGTTCAAAGAAAAGATGCTAAAATTGATATATATACTGATCGTCGTAATGATAAAGAAGCCGATACCATGGAAAACTGGGATGATGAAAAATTAAAAACAGTCGTCGAAAAGAAGAGAAGTAACGAAAATAAAAATAAAACCGCAATCATTTGTAAATTCTTTTTGGATGCTATCGAACAAAAGAAATATGGTTGGTTTTGGGAATGTCCAAACGGTGGTGAAAAATGTTCATATCAACATTGTTTACCAGAAGGTTATCAATTAAAGAAGAAGAAATCCAAAGAAGATGAAGAACAAGAAGAATTGCCAATTGAAGAAATAATCGAACAAGAAAGAGCCAAATTAACTAAACATACACCAGTAACTTTTGATACTTTCATGAAATGGAAAGAAGATAAGAGAATCGAAAAAGAAAAAGCTGCTAAAGCTGCCAACGATAAACGTCTTGCTGATATTAAAGCCGGTCGTACTCAAATGTCAGGTCGTGAAATGTTTACTTTCAATCCAGAATTCTTCGTTGATGATGATTCAGCTATTGATACCAACTCTACTGAATACGTTAAAACTCAAGAAGAAATTGATGCTATTGCCAACGGTATCAATAAAGATTTATTTGTCGCTGATGAAGATGATATTCCAGATATTTCAGATGAAGATGAAGATGAGGACGAAGAAGATGAAGATGAAGATGAAGAAGAAGGTGAAGAAGAGGAAGATGAAGAAGAAGATGACGAATAAATAATTTAAATACTATATAATAAAAAAATAAAACATTAAAAAATATAAAAACCTATTTGTTTTTTTTTTTTTTTTTTTTTTTAATAAAATTTGGTGGGGGTAATTTTTTTGATCTATTTTTTTTTGTAAATCCCCCAACAAATAATAAAATATTGTGAATTTGTACATTGCAATTATACCCGGATAGGCATTTGGAGTTTTTTTTTAATTTTTTTTTTTTTTTTTTTATTTTTTAAATATTTAAAAAACTAAAAAAAAGATTTTTTTTTTTTTTTGTTTATTTTTCATTAACAATATGGATCTAGTTTTAGGTTTTAACATTAAAGATAATTGTGATTATTTGCTTTCATTAGATAATAATGTAGCAAATCAAAAACTTTATAAACAATTTGTTTTTTTGTTACACAAAGATTATAGATCAATTGAGAATATTACCAAAGATGATTTTGAAATAATCAAAAAGTAAAAAAAAAAAAAAAAAAAAAAAAAAAAAAATCTGTATTAACTATTATCATTTAAATATAGAACAATATATTATTATGACAAAAGAGATGAATTATATTTATTATCAAGATTTAGTGAATATTTTAATGTAAACTATGGTGATAAGGATGAATATGTAAAGAAGGCATTGTTTTTAAATGTAATTAAAAATTCATTAGAGTTACAGGGTTTATTAAAATATATATTTGATATAATTAAATTAAATATTAAGCATTTAAATAAGGTTTGTATTATAAAGCTATTTAAATATTTTTTTTCTAATCATTATATTTGTTATTAATTATTTTTTTATATTTTTATATTTTAGGAAATATCAATGGAAATTGTTAATCTTATTATATTGTATTTTAAAGCCAACTTTATATATGGTATAGATCATTTTGGTTTATTTTTATCAGTATTGTTGTTTCAAGATTTAATTGGTTTTGAAGAATTCAGTATTATTTTTGGTCCAGATATTCAAATGATATTTAATAAATTTAGAAACGAAGCATTTTTCCAAACGTTTAAAATCGCACGACAAACAAAGTATAAAAATGATTCAAATGAAATTGTTATAAAAGGTCATTTTCAAAATAAATTTAAAATTATAATTCATGATAGACACATCGACTTTTTATTGCAACTATTACAGAGTTCACCCAATTACAAAGAATCATTATATATTTTATTAACAGTAGCACACAAATTGCAAAATAAATATTATGATCAACTATTCGATTTTTTATATAATGAAAAAGAGCTTATAGAATACAAAAATAAAAATTTCTTTAATTTAAGTTTCAATTTTAAACCATTGGAGGAATTTAAAGAAATTAAAAAAGAAGAGAAAAAGGAAAAACAAGAAGGAATAGAAAAAGAGGATCCTTTAGAGAAATTATTTAGTTCAAATTTAACAACAAAGCAAACAAATAATAGTGAAGTTGAAGACAACATATTAAAGTTTTTTATAAAATCTTTATTAAAACACAACAAATTTATTTTCGGTTATTACAAGGATTTCATTACATCAATTAATGAAAGAAAAATATATGAGTTTGGTAAAGATTTCGCAATGCTATTTAAGCATCTACCATTACAAGAGGTATTTCAGCTTTTTCAAAAATGTTTAAAGGAGTTTTTCTTTTCAACCATCAAGAATGTTTACAAGTTATGTTTAATAAATTGGGGCGAAGATAATTTTAGAGGTATTTTAACAATGGAAAGAATTTTGGAGCCAGAATTTGATTCAATTTTACCTGATATTTATAGATTTTGTTTCGAGTCTTTAAAAGTTTCAGATTTAGAAAAGAACTTGCCTTATTTATTTTATGGTAATAAAGAGCAGTTTAGAGTAAAATACGAGTTAATAGAAAAGTATTATCTTAATCAACTCATCTCAAGTTTAGATGTACACCTAATAGAAAAATATTTATACCCTAATTTTAAAGAAAAGTGTTTAGAATCAAAAATATATCAATTTAAAAAACAGCCAGAGGTAAAAATTCAAGATCAAAAGAATATAGAAGACAACAAGCCAACTCCAATTTTACCCAATTATTTAATATTATATATATTTAATTTATATATAAATTCAACAGAAAATAATTTAAAATCAAAATTTAATATATTAAATTTAAATCATAAATATTTCGAATCAGTTGTAAACTTTATAAACTTTTCATCAAGTGTACCAATTACAATCAAATATACAAATTCTATTAAAAAGTTAAAATCCATTGGTAGTAGTAGTGAAGAGGGTTGGTCAATATTAAAGTTTAACGAGCTATCCTATTTAAAGGTGTTGGTGTTAAAAGATGGGGAATATATAGATTTTAAAAATTATCAAGTATTTAGCAATTTAAAAACAATTGATATTGTTATGGAGAATGTGGTATCATTTTTAAGTGGGGGTCTTATCAAAAGGCTATCGTTAATTCCAGCACTAGAAAAAATTAGATTTACACTTGGTTTAAGTAGGATCACAAAAGACATTTTAAACGATTTTATTTATTTGGCAGATTCACTAAACAAGAAAATAGAGTTTGATATCAATGAAACTTTTACAATGCATGATGAATACATATCTTTATATATTTTATCGAGTGCACATACAAATATTAAAGTTACAGGGGTATGCACCACACTTTCCTCTTTTCTCACAAATCCTGAAACCTATTCTAAAGCTACCGACACTTTTACTTTTGAAATTGTCCAATTGGCTAACTATTACAATCCAGAAAACAACACCACAACAAAAATGATAAAGAATAATGAACAAATATCATCTTTAAAGGAAATCAAAAACCTACACTTTAAAATGAAATGTTCTGATGTTTTTAAAGTTCTCGAATTGCTCGAGCATTTGGACTCTTTAGAATCTCTTTGCTTTACATTCACAAATTCTGGTGCCCATGATTTAGCTGATAATCTTGATAAAGTTTTTATATTGGCTTCAAATTTACCCCAACTTTCAAATATTACAATTGCAGATGACCAAGGTTTCCCAATGGGCATAAACTGGTTAAATTTAACAAATAATAAATTTAGTAGTAATAATTTTAAATATTTTTTTAAATAAAAAATAAAATAAAGTAGTTTTTTAAATTTAATAGTTTTAAAAGAAATAAATTTTTTTTTTTTAGGTTTGTTTAAAAAAAAGTACCTAAAATATATGTGTTTCAAAAAAATAAGTTTAATTTGCAGAAAAAAAAGAAAAAAATAAAAAAATAATTATTTTTTTTTATTTTTTTATTTTTTATTTTTTATTTTTTTTTAATTTTACTCTTATTTCTGGTTGTTTTTTTATCAATTATTTTTTATAATAATTCAATATTTATATTTATTTTGATAAATATCATAAATAAAAATAATGGGACAAAAACATTCAATTAGTTTAAATAAACATTATACAATTACAGATTTATTAATGGATAAGAGGAATGTACTAGATAATAGGAAATATGAATGTTCAATTTGTCTTGAGTTATTATACAATAAACAGGTTTTTCAATGTCGTGAAGTAAGTTTGTTATAGCTGGTTAGTTTTTCTCATTTTAATTGAATTGGTATTAATTATTTTATTTTTATAGGGTCATTATAGGTAAAGTTTTTTTAAGCTATTTTATTATTTTAACATCAAATATTAATTTTATTTACTATCAAAACAATAATAATTTTAGTTGTAAAGAATGGTAATTATTTTCATTATTTTTTAAAAAAAAAAAAAAAAAAAACTAATAAATTAAAATTAGTTGGACGGATGCAATCACCACCTCATCAAAATGTCCAGTGTGTAGAGTAACAGTAAAATCTATTGAAGAATTATCAAGAAATAGATTTGTAGAGGAAGAGTTTGCAGAGTTACAAGTATATCGAAATCTTAAAATCTAAAAACCAATAAATATAAATAAATATTAATATTTTTTTTTAATTTTTAGGTAGTTTGTCCATTTTTATTTTCAAATATATTAGATATTACAAATATTGACGAAAGAGTTTTGGAATCTGATGAAAAAAATGGTTGTAAAAAGATAATGAAAGCAGGTGAACTCGAAGAACATCTCAAGGTAATTTTTTGAAAAAAAAAAAAAAAAGAAATATATAATTTACAATTTTTTATTATTTTATCTATAGAAATGCGAACACAGATATGTTAATTGTTTAAATTCAGATTGCCCGGTACCAGTTAGATCAAATGAAACAAAACAACATGCAGAGCATTGTGATTACTCACCTTTAGAATGTATATATTGCTCAAATAAATTTACTACTGGATCAATTGAAAAGCATTATTTAGAGTGTCAAAATATAGTTTTAAGCTGCGAACAGTGTTGTACTAAATTAAAAAGAAGCGAACTCTCTAATCATATCGATAATGAATGCCCAAATAGTATAGTTTTCTGTAAATATAAAAGTACTGGTTGTTTAGGTCAATTTAAAAGAACCAACGAAGCTACCCATCTTAACGAAATTAACCATACTGTTTTTATGACCAAATATATCTGTGGTTTAGAAAAAAAATTAGAAGAATCAAATGTAAAGAATGAAGAAATTTTAAAAACACTTTCAAGTATGCTAGAACAACTTAAACATAATAATTCATTATTAAAAAAAGAATAAAAAAAATAAATCCTTCATTGGGTTTTTTTTTACATACATATATTAAATATTATATATTTGTTAATTTATTTATTTATATGAGCTTTTAGTTTATTAATATAGCATGTTGGTAAAAAAAAAAATATATTTTTTTCGACAGGGATAATTTTTTCTTTTATAATTTTCTTCTTTTATATCTTGTGATGATTTTGGAAATTATAGAGTTCTTTTTTAATGTAGCAGGATTAATAGATTGATCAATTGACTCTGGTAAGTTTCTATGTCTGCCAGCTAACATTGTTATGACGACTATGAGTTTTGAAATTGGTCTTAAGAGAGTTGAAATTGCGTGGCCTCCTGGGCTCATAGTTAAACCAACATTACCAAAAGCACTAACAATTTCAAAGATTAATTGGAAGACTGATGCTCTACCACTTTCTAACAATTGATTTTCAAAAATTGCAATTGATAATATACAAACATATGGAATGAAAATATCTCTAATTAAAATATCTTTCATAACATCTCTTTGATTTGAATATTTATTATTAACAGCAGATGATCTAAGAGAAATAATAAATGGATAACTTGAAACAAACATTAAACCTAAAAATAATAATAATACTGATTCTGATAATAATGAAATATCGATTGAATTAAATCCACATGTTCTTGTGCTCTATATATATAAAAAAAAAAAGTTAATATTTGAATATTGTCTATATTGTTATTTTTTATAATTACAATTGAAGAGAAATAATAATTTAATAATGTTTCACCAGCATTCATATTAGTGAATGCAATATCGTTGGTATCGAATAGAGCCATCAATGAAATTTGAGAAACATTGAAAATAATCCATACTAAAAACAATTTAATGGTTTCTTTGTATGGGAAAAGATGAGTAAAGATTGATCTAGGATTATCTAATAAATTATTGTATGGATCTGGATCTTTTGTAAACTAATAAAAAAAGAAACTAATATTAATATTTGCGCAAAAATTTAATATATTAAAAAATAATATTACCTTTGAAATTATTCTTAGTATACCTCTAAGGAAAAATGGGAACAATGTATTACCTACAATAATTAAAGTGGATAATACTAATAAAATGAAATATTTATGATTAACTTGAATAAGACTATCGGGGAACAAACCAAGACCAGCATTGTTGAATGCAGAGATAACATGGAACAAAGTCCACCACCAGCCATTGACATTGTTTTTTTTCATAATTTCTTGTGAATTGCTATTGGCTTGAATATAAATAGCTAATGAAAAGAAAGCGATAAAATAAATTACAACAATGTATAATGGGATAATTACTAATAGTTTTCCTAATGATCTATATTCCATATTATCGACATAACTATGAACATGAGTTGTTGAAACAACCTTTGGTGAACTCTTGTTAATAACAATGCTGTTGGTGTTCCCATTATTGTTATTGGAGTTATTGTTATTATTGTTGTTGTTGTTGTTATCGTTATTGGTATTATTGTTATTATTTGTGTTGTTTGTTTTTATTGATGATGATGATGAGCTTGAAGTATTGACTGTTGTTAAAGTATTTGGACTGGTTTTGGATTTCATTATTGGGGTTTTATAATCGTGGTGAGACTCTTCATCGGAATGATCGTCAATACCTATTGGAGTATCCATTGTTAAAACACCACCAATTTCTATGTCATCTTCATGGTGGGCACCAATTTCGTCATCGTGTTGGTACTTTGGATTATCACTGTGGTCATCTTCATATTGATTTTCTTCGTCCCCTTTACTATGGTCACTATTATCTTCGTTTTCTTCGTCATCATCATCACTGAATTCTAAAGGTTGATCCAAGTGTAAGCTTTCAGTCATTGTATGGAATGGATCTATAAAAGAAGATAAGAGATTTGGAGTGCTATGGCTTTCTTTCAAAGATGAGGTGTTGCTACTGTCACCCAAACTCTTTGGATTGTTATAAGAGTTTCTAATAAAGTATCTTCGTAATAAAACTATTGGTAATGTTAACAATACAGTGGAACCTAACTGAACCCATACCATAACAACAAATAATGCAGCATTTGACCATTGCGAAATATCAACTGATACCAAACCAGTGGTAGTAATTGCAGATGCTGAAATATATAAACAATCGATGAATGATACTTTTGATTTAATCTCTATGAGAAATATTATTAATGCGCCTACTAGTGATAATGTAACAAAGTATAACAAGTGAAATCTAAAAAAGTAATTTTGATCTAAATATCCAACAAACCATACAAGGGCTTTCCTAAATTTTATTTTAAAATATTTCGATATATTTTTAAATTTTATCATTTTATTTTATAATTTTATTATTTATTTTTATTGTTTTATTAATTTATTAATTAATTATTTTATTATTTTATAAATTTGTTTTTTTTTTTATTTATCTTTTTATTAATAGAGTTGTTTTTATTTCTATTTTCGTTGGTTGAGTTATTTTAAAAAAAATAAAAAAATTAAAATTTTTGTAAAAAAAAAAAAAAAATCTATTTAACGATTTCTTTTTTAAAGTTGCAAAAATATAGATAATAACAAAAAAAAAATACAGGTAATAAGTAATTATTAAAAAAAAAAAATAAAAAATGAAAAATAAGGTATTTCTTTAAGATAGATATCTTTCTTAAAAAATAAAAAAATAAAAAATAAAAAAATAATAAAAAAAATTATTAAAAAAAAAATAATTTTATTTTTGAATTTTTTTTTTTTTTTAATTATTATTTCTAACCCATTATTTTTTTAATATATTTCACTGGGACGATGTCTTTAAAACACAAAATTGGTAAACTTAAACAAAAATAAAAAAATAATGAATAAAATTTCATAAAAAAAAAAAATGTTTTATTTAATTAAAATATATGTTTATATTTATTTCTTTTATTTATAATCGCCCTATATAAATATTTCATATAAAGATAAAAAAAAAAATCCCGATATTTTTTTATTTTGGAACACCATGTTATAAATAAAATCCACTTCATAGTTCCCATGATTTTCATTTTTTTTTTTAAAATTTCTTTTGATCTTCAAAAAAAAAAATAATCCTTATAAAATAAATCATATCCATTTCCTTATAATATATTTAACCGCACTACTTTGAAAGATTATAATATCACCTGCTTAATTTATTTCCTCAGTATAATAAGTTGAATTTAATTCATCTATGGAGCAAAGGTTAACACCACTTTTATTTATTTAATTTTAATTCATTTTGGTTTTTTTATTTTTGTTTTTTAATTTTAATTTTTTTTTTCTTTTTTTCCTCTGTTGCTGATGTTCTTTTTTATTAGCTTTGTGATTTCTTTTTTATTGGATCTGTTTTGATTTGGTAAATTGATGATTTCTAAACTTTTCCATTGTAAGTTGAGATGTTGGCTCAAAAGTTTTATGTTTTCCATGGCATAGTGGTTCCTCTATAAATTTTGGTTGTTGTTCTTGATCATCTGTTTATTTGGGGTTTTTACCATTTGTGATATTTTTATTATTATTGTTTTTTTTTTTTGTGGGAATGTTTTTAGAACATTTTTTTTTGATATATATTTGATATTTTTATTATAAATGAGTGATAAAAAGTATTATTATTTGATTCTGCTTTTTAAAATTATTTTAGAATGATTGGAAGAAAAAGCAGTTAAAAAGTTGGTTTTTTTTAAAGTATTATTATATGATTGTTATTTTAAATTATTTAGGGATTTTGTTGTTTTCTTATTATTTATAAAAAAAAATAAAGATTGGTTTTGTTAACTTCCTCTCTAAAATATCAAAAGGAAGATAAACGAATTTATCCTCCCCCCAATAATTTTTTATAATGAAGCTTTTTCTATTGTTGTTGTATCCAGTGACATTCATTGAATGTCTGGATGTCTCTTCAACTATTTCACTACTTTCTTTATTATTTTCTTCTTCCATTTTACCTTTGCTATTTTTTTCGAATGTAAGCCACATTCTTTTAGGTAGCTCCATAGAAAAAGAAATTTTTTTCTTTTCTACTAGAGCTTTAATAACCTCTTCTATTTGATTTTGAGTATCTTCATGAAGAACTTTGGATTTTAAACCAAATAGTTTTGTGGCTACATATGAAACCTTGTGTAGATATAAAGTTTTGTTAATAGTGAAGTTTTTGTTAATACAAAAATGATGTTTATAATATGCTAATATTATTAAAATAAGACATATTTTAAAACATTTAATGGGAAGCATTTCAAATATTGATTCCGAGACACTATAAAAAGAGCATTCGTCAACGCCTTGAGTTCTTATTTCTTTTGAGGTGTTATTTAATACATTATCGGGATCATTTGAATCAAATGGTTCAACATTTCCTAAATATTGATTATAAAAATAAATAAATAATTTTTTTTTATATTTTTTTTTTTATTATTGCTTACTTAGTAAAGCTGAGAGTATTTCTTGATTTTTTATGATTTCTCGTTCTTTATCTTCAATGCTATCGTCAATATTTTCTTTGTTTAGTTCTTTTATTTCTTCATTATTTATCTCTTCTTCTAGATTTTTAATGTTATCTTGAATATTTTCTTTGTTTAGTTCTTTTATTTCTTTATTATTTGGATCTAACAATCTTTTATTTTTTTTTATTTGATTAATAAATTTTGTTACTTCCATTTCCTTTTTCTAATTTGATTTTTTCAGAAAAGAATAAAATCATAAATAATGTTAAATGTAAAAATTTTATTGTCGATATATAAAGTATAAATAATTTTTTAAAATAAACAAAATAATATATTCTAAAAAAAAAACAAGAAATAATTAATTAAAAATAAACATATAAAAATAAATAAATAAATAAATAAATAAAAAAAACAAATATTAAAAAATAATAAATACGGAGTATCATTGTTAAAAATAGCAAGTTGATGTGGGTATTTTTTTTAAATACAACACTCCATATAAATATAAATAAATATTAAAACTCCATATATTAAATTCAAATTTATTTTTATTTATTTAATTTAAATTATTTTTATTTATTTAATTTAATTTAATTTAATTTATTTTTTTATTTGGTTTTTTGATTATTTGAAAATCCAAATAATATGGATTGTTTTTACATGTAATCGAGATTATTGTAGTTATAAATCTGTGTTGTTCATAAAAAGCTAAATAATCAATTGATTTCTAGTTTTATACTTATGTCTTCCCAATTTTCAGTTAAATGAAAATAATTATTTCTTTTCATTTCCCTTTTAAGAAACTCTTTGAATGTTTGAAATTTAATCATGAAATAATAAAAAAATATTTAATTTTTAAAATTTTTTTTTTTTTTTTTTTTTTTTTTTTTTAATTTTTTTAATTTTTTTTATAAATAAATAATAAATAAAATAAAATAAAATAATTTAGGTATTAAGAAATAAAAAAAATGCCTTTGTTATTAAAAGATCATTAACTAGATCATTTTCAAAAGAAAATTCTGAAAAATTACTATCAGAATGGGGAAAGATGGCAAAAAAAGAAACATTTAAATCACCAGTAGGTTGGTAGTACATAATAATTTATTTTATTAAATAAAAAATAGGGGTGCTGGTGTAGAGTTATCAAATCAAATGTCACCAAAAGGGTATGAAACAACATATTAAGGTATTTTTTCAGGTATTTATTGTGGATTGGGTGCAGGTTTAGGTTTAGGTTCAATCATTGGCGGGTTTTATATGAACATAAATCACCAATGTATTTATTCAAATTTACAGCTACCGCAAAAACATTTAGTTTAATTGTTTTCACTTTAAACCAACTTTATAAAAAAAAAAAAGAAATCAATAATAAATAAAAGGATTATTTTTAAATTAAAATTTTTATTTATTTATTTATTTATTTATTTATTTATTTATTTATTTATTTATTATTTATTTATTTATTTATTTATTATTTAAAAAAAAAAAAAAACTCTGGTTTTGTTAAATCTATTAAATCCAAACTTTGAAAGGAAGATAAACGAAATTTTTTGAGATTGTGGTTAATGATGTGATGGGGTATTTAACTTTGTGTGGTGGGGATTGAGGGTTTGGTGTTGAATTTTGTGGGTTAGAGTGTTGTATGAATATGATCTTGCTATTGTTATTACTATTGTTATTGTTGTAGTTGGAAAAATATTTATTTATAAAATAAACCTATGAAAAACTGATGATAATAAATAAAATGAAAAAAAATTAATAAATAATTCATTTTTAAATGGTAGTTAATAAAGATTTATGTGAAAAGTGAAATTAGTGTAGATTATAAATTATTTTATATATAAAAAAATTATAATTTCTATTATTAAAATTTATTAAAGGCGCGGAATATTATAATAAAAAAATTAAAAACGTAATACTATAAAATAAAAAAGCAAATTAAAAAAAAAAAAAACGAAATACTATAAAAGAAAAAAGTAAAAATTCAAACTCTGCCACAAAAAGAAATGAAATCTAAACGATTCTTGAAATAATACATAGAGATTTCAAACATATTGCTTAAATTAGTTGTTAAATTTTATTATAAAAAAATTAAACAAAGTGTTAAATGTAAAAGAAAAAGTGTGTGGTTGATTATTATAATAAATTTTTTTTTAAAAATGATTATTATAATTTAAACGATTTTACATTTTTATAAAATTCCGATTGCAATTTTTCTAATTGTGGAAATTTTTAATAAAATTAATTTTTATTTTTAATTTTAAAAAAAATTTTCATTTTTGAATTTAAAAAAAAATTTAATAGCATTAAAATTTTTTTTTTTTTCTTTTTTTAAAAATAATAGCTTTCAAAAACACAATCTTTTACATTCAAATCAAGTTTATTTTTTTGCATTCATCAAACTCAAATTCACACATCAATATTATTTGTTATTTTTATAAATATTTATATTTTATTTTATAAAAAAAAAAAACCTAAAAAAAAATTTATTCTTTGTAAGTTATCAAAATTTATCATTTATTATTTTTATACCCTATTAACTTTTTTTTTTATTTATTTTTATTTATTTTTTGTTTTTATTTTATTTGTAGATAAATAATATATAAAAAAATAGAAAAATGATTAATTATGTTTTATATTTTTTAATTTGTATCATTTTTTTCATTTTATTTTTTTTTATTAAAAAAATCAGAAGAAACAACCACAAATATGAAGATAATTACTACGAGAGCGATAAATGCAATGACTATTTTTATGATGATGATTACTACGAAGCATATCATAAAATTAATAACCCACCACAGGAGCCACAACAACAACAACAACCAAATCCACCACAATCATCTCAACAACAACAATTACAACAACATTCACAACCACAATCACCTCAACAACAACAAAAACCACCACAATCATCACAATCACAATCACAACAACCACAATCAAAACACACTTCATCAATGCCCGATTATAAAAAACTATTTAGGGCTATGGATGAATATGAAAAACTACAACAAGAACTAGAACCAGAATCAGAATCACCATCACCATCACCATCACAACATCAACATCAACATCAAAATCATCAACAACATCATCAACAACACCACCAACAACAACAACAACAACAACAACAGCAACAACAACAATCAAAACCACAAACACAACAACAATCAACTCCAGATGTAAATTCACATATTATTGATGGTCAAGGTCAATATTGTGAACCAATGGGCATCAACTCAGCTGTAGAAGACTATGCAGCTTTAACACGTTTATATGATCGTTTGGATCTCTACAATTTGGAGAACAGTAGGGATATTCCAGGCGATGGAAATTGTCAGATGCATGCTTTATCTGACCAAATTTTCGGTGACTTGAATCATGGTGCCGAAATTAGAAGAGCCATTGTTGCATGGCTCAGAGACAATAAAAATTTCACCCTCAATAATGGTGCAAAATTATCCCAATTTGCAAATACTAATGATTGGAATAGATATTGCAACCGTATGTCAAGAAATGGTACATGGGGTGATCATTTGACTTTACTTGCTGCTTCTGAATTATTGAAATCTCAAATTACAATAATTTCATCAGTAGAATCTGAAAGAAGCTCAATAATTGAAATAATTCCAAGTTCAATTCAAAATAGTAGAGAAATTTTATTATCTCACCATGCTAAACATTATGGCTCATTGCGTTCAAAACCATAATCAGTAGTTATGGATAAATAATTAATATGTAATGACATTGGTCTATTAAATTTCGGTATTAGCCCAGCTAATCAATAATTTATAGACAGAAATGGTATGTAAAATAATATTCTTTTTAAAAATTAATTTTAACATATATTAATAATTTATTTATAAATAATTAGGTTCATTAAATTAAAAGCAGCATCGGCAGTTCTCCCAAACGTGTTGAAAATCCAAGTTGATATTAAATGGTAGTTGAAAAAGCTTTTCAAATGGTGGTTCAAATAGTGCTTCAAATGGTGGTTCAAATGGTGTTTTAAGTGGTTCTTCATAGTGGTGGTTCGGTGGCTCAAGTATCGCTTCAAATGGTGTTTTAAGTGGTTCTTCAAGTGGTGGTTAGGTGGTTCAAGTATCGCCTCATATGGTGCTCCAAGTGGTGTTTCGAATATCGTTCAATATAGTGGTTCCAGTAATAGCGCTTAAAGTTGTGCTTCAAATGGTCTTCCAAATGGTCTTTAAAATAGCTCTTCAAATTGTTCTTCAAATGGTGCTTTAAATAGAGCTTAAAATGGTACTACAAGTGGTAGTTAAAGTAGTTAGCCCCACTATTAATTTATTATAAATTCTCGAAAAGATAAAATTCATATTACATTATAATTTATTTAATTCTTCAAAGTTAAAATTGAAATAAGAAGTTATCATTACAATTTTTATTCTATTTTAATATCTTTATATTCCTTTTTAAAAAAAATTAATAAAATAGTTATAAACAAATAAAATATTAAATTTTAAAAAAAAAACTATATATCAAAGGTTTTTTTAAAAAATAGAAAAAATAAAACTAAATCTTTAAAATAAAATTAAATTTATTTTTAATTTTGTATATTAATATAATTATATTAATTTGGCTTTATTTTTTAAATATTGACTTTACTATTGCTATTAGTTAATATTATTTTATTAATTATTATTTATAATTTATTATTTATTTTTTATTATTTTTTATTTGTTACTATGGTATCCTAAACGTGAGATTGTTGGGTAATAAATGAATAAATAAATAAATAAAAAAATTAATATTTTATATTTTATTTAATTTTAATAGTTTTTTTTTTTAATATTTATTTATTAATAGTTTGCAAATAATTTAATAAATCTTTTTTAATTTGATGTTTATCTATATCATTTTGATTTGATTTTGTATTATTTATAAATTCTTTTAATAATTCGACTAAATTTTCTTTATTAAATTGAGGATTTGATAAAACTATAGATTTGAAGGTGTTTAAACAAATTTCTTTTCTTTGACTCTTTTGATTTTTATCTAATTCTTCTTCACCAAGTTCCAATGCTATTTGAATTTGACCCAATTCATTGAAAATATGTTTAAATGAAATTGATTCGTGTTGGGGAATATCGAATTGTAAATTATTTGAAAAATGGGTATAAAGTTCTGTTAAGAGATCTAACTGAGCTAAACGAATATAACGATCTGCATCAAATATAACCTCTTCAGTACCAATTTGACCAATTAAATATTTATATAAATCTTTTGTAATATTGGTAGAGTTTGGATCTACCTGTAAACAATTTTTAATTATTGGAAGGGTTTCTGTTAAGCTTGTTAAAACTTTAAATACAATCTTTGAAATTACATCGGTATCTTTATCTTGTTGGTCATCCTCTTCATCATCGTCTTTATCATCATCGTCTCCATTATCTAATTGAATCGAGTTTGAGTTATTTAAAATTTTAAGATAAACTTGTTGAATGATGCTATTTAAATAAATTGGTTTATAAAGTGAGCTAATGGTGAAAAGCTTTAAAACTTTATCAAGAGTTGTAATAATAGATGGAGCATATCTTGAAATCGATTTCCAATTCTTTGCAACAAACTGACATAGTCTTTCTACGGTGGTATCTAAAAATGGTTGGTAAAATTCTTTTGTTGATTGTGCAATGTTGCCAATTGCCTTGATAACATGTATTGTCATTGATTTATATTTTTGAATTGGTTTAACTATTTCGCTTAGTAATGGATTTAAAATTTTTGGCAAGTAATTTTCTAAAAGTAAACTAATCTTGGTTTGTCTTTTTGATATTAAGCTTTGCTTTTCTTCTTCGCTGATGGTGGTAGCTATAGTGTTTGAGATTGAGTCAATATTTCTTGTTAATGAAGTTATAAATTCTGAAAATATTAATGGATCGGCTAAAACTGGGGCATAAATTAAAAACTCTTCTGAAAATTCAAAGAAATCGTTAACTACTCTGATAATAGCCATTAAGTTTAAAATTATTGAGCTTCTACTACGTTGGAAAAATGCTTGAGATCCCTTGTTCAAATTGTTTTTAACATATTCTTTAATATCACCAATGCAATCTAATAAAACTTTGAATATATTTATTAATGTTTCTTGTAATTGATTTGATTCTCTAATTGCTGCATTTGAAACCCCAATTCTTAAACTATCAATAATGTTAACTGTAATTTTTCTATTTTCTCTATTGCAAATATTATCTTTTTTTAATCTAAATAATAAAGTATAAAATATTAATATTTTTTTTGGTATATTTGAATGTAAAACTTATAAACTAATACATACATTTCTAAATATGAGCTAAAAATATTATTACATAATGATTTATCTTTAATATAAATTGAAGTGTAGCCACATAAAATACCTAAAAATATAGTTGATGATTCTTTATTTATATTGTCAAATAATAATTTTGAAAGATTTTCTAAAAGTGAAATTGAAATTTCATTTTCTAAATTCATTTCTGAAACTTTATTGTTATTACTATTGCCATTACCATCTGATTCAAAATCATCCTCATCGTCATCAGTATCTTCATCGTCATCCTCTTCATTTTTTGATGACTTGTATGGCAAATATAATTGGAAATATTGACCTAAAACTTGAGTTAAATCTTCGTATAAATTTTCATCTTTAATTGAACTGTTTTTAAAATATTTTGTTAATTTATAATTTATTATTATTATTAAATATAAATATAATACTTACCAATAAATTTTAATTAATGATTCAATAATTTTATTATTTTTGATTACTAATAATGGGGAGGCTTGCATTAAGATAACAATAAAATCAATGATTGTTTTAATTGATGCATTTGAAAGACCTTCTTTATTAATATCGAATGATTTTTGGAGATATTCAATAAACTGTAAAGAATAAGATTCGATAGTATCTTCGTAGCATTGTAATAATGATGTATATGAGCTTAAAACTTGCATTTTGGTATCGTCATCACTTGATTCGTCAATAAAGTGTGGTAATAATAAGTTTTCGATAATGTCTGATAAATAAATTGAAAATGAACTGCTATATTTAACATATCTAGATAACTAATATAATTAATAATTAGAATTGTTTTCAAGATAAAGAAATAACAATATTATTTAAAATTTACAGTTCCTAAGATAATTAATGATTTTTTAAATAATTCAATATCTGATTTTAAAACTTCTTTATTTTCATTATTTGAAATATTTAGTTTGATTTGTTTTGATTTGATTTTTAATACAAATATAAATCTATTAATATTATCACTTGTAGTTTGTTCGTCTGTACAAAAATTTTTTAAAAAATAATTTACAATATTATTTGGGTCTGAAATTTGGATAGCTTTGAAAAAAGTTTCAAATGCTTCACTAACATCTTCACCATTATTATTATTATTATTACTATTATCCATTAATTTAATTTAAACAAATAATTATTTTTAAAATGAAACGAAAAATGAAAACATCGGTTTTTTAAAAAAAAAAATTTTAAAAAAAAAAAATAAAAAAATTTTAAATTTTAAAAATAATATATTAATTAACATTTTCTTTGTTTATATTAAAAACTTTATTTTTTTATTTTATATTAATAGTAAAAAAAAACTAAAATATAAAAAAATAAATAATTAAATAAAAATGAATTTACAATTTACTAAAATATATGGTACAATTATAAATAATATATGATATACATATATTATAAATCATTAGTTTATTTTATTTGTTTAAAATATATATTACTATTTATAGTATCTATTTTAAATATAATTTGTATAACCTAAGAGGCTATTTTTAATTATTAGTAATAGTAAACTATTATTATTATTATTATTACTATTGCTTGTATTGTTATTGTTATTTATATAAAAAATATTATTATTTTATTTTTTTATAAAGTATAAAGTTGATTTTATAAATTCTAATAATGAGTCATTATTATCATCACTTCTTTCTTCTATTAATAAAAAATCTGATTTGTCGTTTGAGGTATTTTCACTTCTGCATAATGGACAACTATTGCTTTTTTCTCTCCATTCTTTAATACAAAAGGTACAAAAAGCATGAGCACAGTCACCAATACTAGTTGCTTCATTATCTAAACAAATAGGGCATAATTTATCGTCGTCCCCATTATCCTGTGAACTATATAATGCATTTAAAGCTGTGGTTGCTGATGATGCTGATGTTGTCGTATTATTATTACTACTACTATTATTATTTGAATTACTTAATCTTTTATTTTCTAAATCTATATAATTATGTATTGACTCTAAAAATTTATAAAATTCCCCAAAACTTAATTTAGTTTTTATAAATGGTTGTTCATTTTTGTAGTTTCCTTCGTTAGTTTTATTATACTAATAAATATAAAAAATAAAAAAGTAAAATATTAATATAGAGCACTTTGGCAAAAGAGCGATAAATAACATGTATTAATTACATACCACCAATATTAAAACCTTTACTAAAAATTTCCATAATATTGTTTCGGTGACGATCTCTGTTTCGGGGACATCGATTGTTAATGTTATGTATATATTTGTTTCTTTTTTCAGAAAATTCTTACTATTTATTTTATTGTTCGTATTATAAACTTCGGTTTTAAATTCATTCATATTGGATGCTTTTTTTATTGAATTCCCCATTTTCTTCTTTTATTTCTATTTATATATATATTTTTATTTAAGTGTTTTTGCACCTCTGCAAGCTTGAGTTTGAACAAATTGGTGTATTTTAAAATAAAAAATAAAAAATAAAAAAATTAAAAATAAATAAAAAATAAAAAAAATTTTAAAAATATATAAAAAATAAAAAAAATCTTTTTTTTTTTTAATTATTATTATAATTTAAAATAAAATAAAATAAGTTTAAACTATTATTAGATCTGATCTTTAATTAAATGTTCTGTATGCATTATGTTTTAATATTAAAATATTTAAACATAATAAAAAAAACAAAAAAAAAAAAAAAAAAAATAATTTTTACCTGTCTTATATTTACATATTTAATTTTATTTTTATTATTTTTTTTAATAAAAATCCATTTTAAGATTTATTCTTTTTAACCTTGAATATACTGAATGACGATGATTTTTTGATTTTTGATTTTTTCGAATTTTTTTTTTTATATTTTTATATCTGTAGTTATTACTTATTTATTTAAATATATATTTTAACCGCAACATGACTTATTACTATCACCACCACTGTTATTCCCTCTTTTTGAAAGATCTCCTTCACTAATTTGAACACCTAATTGTTCAAGATTAACATCACCATTATCTATTTTTGTAATAATTGAACGAGCACATTTTAAAAATAATTCTTCGACACCATCACCCGATAATGCACTTGCCTCCATAAATAAAAGATCATTCTCTTGAGCTAATCTTGATGCTTCCAAAAATGAAACTTCTCTTTCTTCTGATAAATCTGCTTTATTTCCTACTAAAATAATTGTAACATCTTTGCTTGCCAATGCTCTGGCATCTGATAACCAATTATTAATATGATTATAACTTTCCCTGCTTGAAACATCATATACTAATACTACACCTGATGATCCACGATAGTATGATCTATTAATAATAAAATAGTTTAGGAAATATTAATAATCGATCTAATCATAAACAAAACAAATCATCACCATCATCATCATCATCATCATCATCATCATCATCATCATCATCATCATCATCATTTATTTAAATAAATATATACCTTGTAACCGATCTAAATCTTTCTTGGCCTGCAGTATCCCAAATTTGTAATTTAACTGCTCTACCTTGAATATCAATAATCCTTGATGCAAAATCTACACCTATTGTATGACTCGATTGACTTTTAACTGCAGTTTTAATTAGTATAATGTGTTTTTTTAACTTTTGTTATAATAGTTTATACCTACATCTATTATCTGTAAATCTATGTAAAAGACAGCTCTTTCCTACTGAGGCATCTCCTAATATAAGAAACTTAAATAAATATAATGATTTACCCATATTATATGAAATGTGAGGTAAAAAAAAAAAAAAAAATTAAAAGTTTTTTAAAAAATATTATTTTTTATTTTTTTTTTTTATTTAATTTTTTTCTATTTTTTTTGATATATATTTAATTTTCGACCTACTATTCTCTTTTAATTCAAATAAAATTTTGATTTCTATTTTAGGTTTAAACTAAAATAACTGAATATGTGGCACAGTATATTTATTTGAAAAATATTTATTTTATCTATTTAATTTCTTTTCTTAATTTTTTATTAACATTGTTTTTTTTTTTATTAAAATAATTATAAATGTAAACAATCTTTATCTTTAAATATAAAAAGATACATTCCCTCCCAATTTATAAAAATATCTCTTTGTTATAAAAATGTTCCTAATAATTTAGATAATGTATTTTTACAATGTGGGTTAAACATTAAAAAATAAATATATCTATGAAGTTACTGGTAATAATCATAAGAAGAAATAAATTTATAAATAAAAAAATATATAC